CATAGAATGAGTTTGGTAATGTGCCTTCTGTTCTGTTTTGTGGAATTGTTTGAAGAGTATTGGTGTTAGCTCTTCTTTGAAGGTCTGGTAGAATTCTGCACTGAAACCATCTGGCCCTGTGCTTTTTTTTTTTTTTTTTTTTTTTTTTTGAATGGGAGACTTTTGATGATGATAGCTTCTATTTCCTTAGGGGATATAGGACTACTTAATTGATTTGCCTGTTCATGATTCAGCTTTGGTAAGTGGAATTGATCAAGAAAATTGTCCATTTCATTTAGATTTTCAATTTTTGTGGCATATAGGTTTTGAAGGAAGACCTAATTATTGTTTGGATTTCTTCAGTGTCTGTGGTTATGTCCCCCTTTACATTTCTGATTTTGTTGATTTGGATGGTGTCTCTCTGCCTTTTAGTTAGTTTGGCTAATGGTTTGTCTATCTTGTTGATTTTCTCAAAAAACCAGATCTTGGTTTCATTGATTCTTTGAGTTGTTTTATTTGTTTCTAATTTATTGATTTTACCCCTCAGTTTGATTATTTCCAGCTGTCTACTCCTCTTGGGTGTTTCTGCTTCTTCTTTTTCTAGGGCTTTCAGGTGGGCTGCTAAGTTGCTGCGTGAGATGTTTTGAATTCCTTCTTGAAGGCACTTAGTGTTATGAACGTTCCTCTTAGCACTGCTTTAATTATGTCCCATAAGTTTTTGTATGTTGTATCTTCATTTTCATCGAATTCTAAGAAGTCTTTAATTTCTTTATTTCTTCCCTGACCCAGCTGTCATTGTGTAGTAGATTGTTCAGTTTCCATGTGTGTGTAGGCTTTTTGCTATTTCTTTTGTTGTTGAGGTCCAGCTTTAGCAACCATGATGGTATCTGTTGAAGTCTGCTTTGTGACCAACTATATGGTCTGTTTTGGAAAAAGTTCCACGAGGTGCTGAAAAGTAAATTTTTTTTTTGTGTTTGGGTAAAAGGATCTGTAGATGTCTGTTAGGTCATCAAATGATTCATGACCTTTGTTAGAGTCATTGTTTCTTCGTTTAATTTCTGTTTTGTTGACCTGTCCTTTGTTGAGAGTGGGGTGTTGAAGTCTCTCACTATTAATGTGTGGGGATCTATGTGTGTTTTAAGTTTTATTAATGTTTCTTTTACAAATGTGGGTGCCCTTGTATTTGGGGCATAGATGTTCAGTATTGAGATGTCGTCTTGGTGGAATTTTCCCTTGATGAGTATAAAGTGTTCTTCCACATCTCTTTTTATTAATTTTGGTTGAAAGTCTATTTTATTAGATATTAGAATGGCTGCTCCTTCTTGCATCTTGGATCCATTTGCTTGGAAAGCCATCTTCCAGCCTTTTACTCTCAGGTAATGTCTATCTTTGTGACCTAGGTGTGTTTCTTGTATGTGATAGATTGTTGGGTCTTATTTACACATCCATTCTCTTTTATCTGTGTCTTTTTATTGGAGAATTGAGTCCATTGATGTTGAGAGAAATTAATGACCAGTAGCTGTTGGACCTTTGATTTTGATGTTGGTTGTGGTACTGTGTTTGTGTGCTTGGCTACTTTTAGTTGTCTGTGGTGAGGTTATTTCCTGTGTTTTCCTGAATGTAGTTGGCTTTCTTGGGTTGTATTTTTCCTTCTAGTATCTTCTCTAACGCTGGATTTATGTGTAGGTATTGTTGAAATTTGTTTTTGTCGTTGAATATCTTGTTTTCTCCGTCTGTGAGGACTGAGAGTTTTGCTGGGTATAGTAGCCTGGGCCGACATCTGTGTTCTCTTAGGGTCTGCATGATATCCGTCCAGGCCCTTCTAGCTTTCATAGTCTCTGTTGAAAAGTCAGGTGTGATTCTGATGGGTTTGCCATTATATGTTACTTGGCCTTTTTCCCTTGCTGCTTTTAGTATTTTTCTTTGTTCTGTACACGTACTGTTTTGATTATTATGTGGCGAGAGGATTTTCTTTTCTGGTCTAATTTATTAGGTGTTTTGTAGGCCTCTTGTGTGCTTATAGGCTTCTTTAAATTGGGGAAATTTTCTTCTTTGATTTTGTTGAAAATATTTTCTGGAGATGGGAATCATCTTTTTCCTCTATTCCTATTATTCTTAGGTTTTGTCTTTTCATGTTCTCTTGGATTTCTTGAATGGTTTGTGTCAGGAATTTTTTAGATTCAACATTTTCTCTGATGGATAAATCGATTACTTCTGTTGTATCTTTCACACCTGAGGTTCTTTCTTCCATCTCTTGTAATCTATTGGTTATGCTTACCTCTGTAGTTACTGTTTTCTTCCCTAAGTTCTCCCTCTCCATTATTTCCTGTTTGTGTTTTCTTTAAAATTTCCAATTCTGTCCTCAGATCTTGAACTGTTTTGTTAATTTCCTTCACCTGTCTTGACTGTATTTTTCTTTTTTTCCTTCAATTTCTTCACCTGTTTGTTTGAAATTCTTCTGTTTCTTTTATCTCTTTCAGTGATTTAATTATTTTCTCTCTGAAGGCCACAAACTGTTTGGCTGCATCTTCCTGTATTTTTTTACGGATGGCCATACTCTGTTTGACTTTATCTTCCTCTGTTTCTGTACGCATTTTATTTGCTTCCTCCATTTTCCTCTTTATAAGCATAGATATAAGGTCATCTTCTTGAGTTTCACTTATGATAGGGTGTCCAGGGCTACTTGCTCCTGGATAACTGGGTTCTGGAGATGCCATGTTGCTTTGACTTTTGTTGGTTGTGCTTTTATGCTGGTCTCTACCCATCTGGCTGTCTCAGGTGTTGGCTGTTAATTTCTGGTGCCTGCTTGGAATCCTGAGGTGGGAAGAATCCACAGGAAGATGGTTGTTCCTGAAAGAGGCCTCCTCAGATTTTTGGCTATGTTCATCTAATGGCCGGTGCTTCTCAGGAATTGGCACAGCTCACCTCAGGCGTATGGACTTGTGTGGTAACTGTGGTCATTTGTAGTCAGGAGGCTCTCCTCTTACCAGGAGAAGTCCTGGAGATAGCTGCCCTGCCACTGGGTTTCTTGCTCTGAATTTAGTGAGCTGCTGCTGATTTTTTGCTGGGCACAGCCCTCTTGAAGAATGAGGGAGCCCCACAGTTTGGTCAGTTTGGCTAGGGAGACAGGTTGTGCCTTGGAGCAGTGTCTGGGGGCTGATCCTGTAGATCCAGGCTTCTGTAGGTCTGAGGTTGGAGCTCTGTGCCCTAATACACAAGCTGTAACCAGTGGCAGGTCTGCACAGCACTCACGCATGTGGCAGGAGGCTAGAGCCTGGAGCCTGTAGGGACCCAGAAACATTTCCAGGGATTATCTGGGTGTCCTGAGATCAGACCTGATGTTTCCCCCACCATGTGGCTTCCTCCCAACAGGGAGACTCTGTCTGTGGTGTTTTGGGGTCCACAGTTCAGTATGGAGTGGTGAGTAGAACACGCAGGTGCAGGCCAGTGGCTCTGTGCAGGTGACTGGATGTCTGCAGGAACCCAGGGACTTATCCCAAGAGCTTTTCGGGGTGGGGGTGGGGGTTGGCTGGGTGCCCTGAGGTCAGACCTGATGTTTCCTTCACTGTGGGGTTTTTCCGGACAGGGAAACCCAGTTCTGTCTGGGATGGTGAGTGGGGCACACAGGCAGTTCTCTGGGCTGGTGGCTGAGTGCTCACAGGACCCCAGGACCTTTTCCAGAGATTGTCTGGGTGACCTGAGGTTGGTCCTGATTGCTTCCTTCATCGTGGGGTTTTCCCTCGACTGGAAAACCCACTCTCTGGTGTTGTGGGGTCCACAGTTCAGTCCGGGATGGTGATTGGAGCATGCAGGCGTGTGGTGCTGGGCTGGCGGCTAACCCAGGAACTCTTCCATGGTTTAGCTGGGTGACCCGAGAATGGACCTGATTGCCTCCCACACCATAGGGTTTCCTCTCACCTGGGAAACACATCACTGGTGTTTTAGGGCCCAGAATTCAGTCTGTTGGTTGCCATGTAGTCACTGCTGTCCTACTTGTCTGACACAGTGTCTTCTTGGCACCACCATCTTGGATTCTCCTTAAAAATAATTTTACTTGACAAATAATACTTTGATTTATAGAGTACAGTGGGATACTTTGGGATATGTAGACACTATGGACTGGCTTCCTTGATCTTATTATCTGTTACCTTAATTGTCATTATTTTTTGGTGTGATGTGAAGAAATGAAACCCACCCCCAGCAATTTTGAAATATGATTTACAAGATGATTGCCTATAGTCACTATCCTGTTTGTGAGTCTCAGGATTTACTGCTCCTGACTAAAACTTAGTGCCCTTTAGCCAGTGTCTGGACAGGTGTTCCTCAGTGCCACAGCTCCATGCTTGCTGTGTGGTTTGTTTTAGAAAAGCATTGAACATTTGCTTTTTGTTTTATTGAGTCTTTCATGCATTTATTGAACCGATCAGACGTCCCCCTCTCTAGTGTGTCAGTGTGACAAAGCATGCAGACCCCTTGTTAGAACACCCAGACAAGTCAGATAAGCTCACTATTGTGTTTAAATTGCTCTGAGAGCCCTTTGTTGTCTTTGTTTCTTTGTTCACAGCTGAGCTGGGCCTGTGGGTTTTTTTTTTTTTTTTTTTTTTTTTTTTTTTTTGCTCTGAGAGCCCTTTTTTTTTTTTGTTTTTTTTTTCACAGCTGGGCTGGGCCTGTGGGTTTTTTTTTTTTTTTTTTTTTTGTGCAGTTAACACTTACAGGGCTTCTGTCTTGGGCTGGTTCTGTGAGATGACAGGAAGATTGTTGGTATTTATTTGACTCTGCATTCTTTGTGTAGTAAAGAGACTTCCCACGCTTACCCTTTTGAGCAATGTGGCATTTTACCATGTTATCAAGCTTTTCTTCTCAGCAAGGATTTTAAAGTTAGGTTTAAATCCTTGAAGGATCCAGTGAGCTGCTCTTCTTTATTAGGGGGTCTCTTTTGGTGTGTTAAGTTTCTGTGAACCACAGTTGAGTCCTTCTAAAAACAGGCAGTCACTAATGGATCGTGTCTCTGTTGTGAACAGAAGCCGTCAAACATTGAAAGTGAGAGAGCACAGTGTGTTGGGACCCTATGTGGACGGACTTTCTAAACTGGCTGTCACAAGCTACAAGGTAACATCCTTTATGTAAGCTGCTTCAACTGCCATTTTGGCTCATTACCTTTCCTTATTTTTTAAAGAAATATTTAAACATTTTGCTATGTTATTTTTATTTTTTGTGTATGCGTGTTTTGTCTGCATATATGCTTGTGTATTATGTGTGTGTCTGATGCCCCTGAGGCCAGAAGAGGGCATTGGATCGCCTGAAACTAGAGTTGCAGACTGTTTTGTGAGCTGCTATGTGGTTGCTGGGAATTGAACTCAGGTTTTCTGGAGCCATCTCTTCAGCCCTGGGTTATATTTTTAAAATTAAATTTACAATACCATTATTTAGTAATTCACTTTCTACAAAAAAAAAAAAATCTTCAAAGTGAGATGAAAATTAGTCTGTAAATATCAGCTAAGTATTATGAGCCTCTAGATCATCAGAACTTATGGATCCAGAAAGTTTTAGAAAATGTTTTGCCTATGGCAATATTTTTGCAACTAATGATTTTACTTTGGGAGTATTTGCTGTGTTGCAATTTTTTACTATCATTCTTTTTAATGTATACAGCAAAAGTATAATTATATGACTTACGAAAATTTTCTGTATGTTTGGTAGCTTTAAGATTGTGTTCAAGTATGTACATCATAAAAGCATAACAGGATTTAAGTTCTGTTTCTGTATGCGGTATTACATGTTCTGTTGTTATGCATCCTTAGTGTCTCGAAAGTACTTGGTGTAGAGTGGGTGTTTTCAGTATTTGCATGAGTGAAAGAATCAAAGAATAAGCAGTAATTTAAACAATGCTTTTCTGTTAAAGTCTGACATAGGCACTTCGAGGCTGGAGTCATGGCTCTAAGGTGTTGGTAGGGAGCTCCCCACTCCACAGGGAGATGCTGTGGTGCCTGTGCTGTCCTAGTGCCTCTTTCACTAGAGATTCGATGGCATGCTTGCTTCCATTAGGGAGGATCACCTAGATGCTTTATGTTACACTTTAGTTCATCACATAGCTGGGCAGGGCTGCAGAGACATCTGGGAAGTGGAGCCTCTTGGCCTTGCCACAGCAGACTGAGTGGAGGAGAGGACTCCTTGACTGGAAAGAACATCAGGTGGTGGGAGGAAGCTGGGGAGCGCTTTCACATACTCCATCTCTTCAATTCCTCGTTTCACAAATGCTTGTAGAGGACATTGCTGTATGTGTGTATTTATTCATTATTGTTCATGGTACCAGGGGTGAGACCCTGGGCCTTGTGTGTGCTAAGCACTTGCACTGCCTCTGGGCTCCATTCTCAGCCCACGAGATGATAATTTGTGTTATGATTAATGAAGCTTAGCTCAGATTGCTTCAGCCACTGTTTCAGAGCGTGTAGCTTTTGGGGGATGAGGGAAAGGCAGGTTTTCATTGTGTCACTCTGGATGACCTGGAACTCTTGCTAAGACCAGGGTGGCCTCAAACTCCCAGAGATCCACTTGTTTTGCTTCCTGAGTGTTGGGATTAAAGGTGTGCCAACACATCTGGCCCTGAAGCTCATAGCATTTGGAAAATCTGAGCCAGCCCTGGTGGCACAGGCCTGTAATCACAGGTCTTTAGGAGGCTGAGGCAGTAGGATGGACAGTTCAAGGCCAGTCAGAGCAACTTACTTAGGCCCTGTCTCAAAAAATAAAAATAGAGCTAGAGAAAGCTCAGAGGTAGAGCATTTGTGAAGCAAGTATGAGGCCCTCGTTTCAGTCCCCCAGAACTGTGCCCTCCCCCCAAATCATAGCTACTTTTCTAGTATTCCCAGCTTTATGCTAATTTTTTAAAGTGGTAATATCAAACAAATACCTGATATGTTTAGGTGAAGGGGTCAGAATCTTTTTCTTTTTTGCTTTTTATATAATTTATTTTAGTAATAAACATACATTGATTTTACAATTAAATGCAATTTTTTTTTTTTTTTTGTCACTCAAAAGTTTTGTTGCTAATGCTGTGCATGGTACACCTGTGGATGCAGACGCAGAAGGATCACAAGTTTGAGGCCAGCCTGGGCTACATAATGAATTTGAGGCTACCTTGGGGTACTTTGTAAGATCCTGTTTTGTGGTTTGATGGAGCCTCGCTTCTAAACTTCTCTGTGTCAAAGCCGCCACTTGCTTCCTTGTCTGCAGTAAATAACGTGCTTTAGTTGGCCCTCAGCAATAGTATGGGCTCTTGTATTCTCACTAAAATAAAAATGTAGCCTCTAAAAACTTGGGTGCTTGTGATAGTATGGGAGCGTGATCATGCTTATTCATAAACAATGAGATAAGTGCCTGTGACCTGTTTCCACTTAGGATATTGAGTCTCTGATGTCTGAGGGCAATAAGTCTCGGACAGTTGCTGCAACCAACATGAATGAGGAAAGCAGCCGCTCCCACGCAGTGTTCAAAATCACCCTGACACATACTCTGTATGATGTGAAGTCTGGGGTAAGTAGCTTCTAAAACAATCATCGTTTAGTCCAGTGATTCTCAACCTTCCTAACGCTTTGACCCTTAATACAATTCTTCATGCTATGCTGACCCCCAACCATAGAATTATTTTCACTTCCAATTTATAACTGTAATGTTTTACTGTTGTGAATCATAATGTAAACATCTGTTATGTGGTCATGACCCAAGGTTGAGAACTGCTGGTTTAGCCTGTTCTCTTTGATGATAGTTGAATTGAAGGCCTCGTTCAGACTGTTGGTCAGGACTCAGGACAGAAGGTTCTGACAAGAACAGCAGCTGCTGTACTGTAGCTGCAGCACTGTCGGAACACCCCAAGAGGGCTGGGATCTACAGCAGCTTTAGGAGTCACGCCTGAAACCACAAGGGACACATTCCTTCAATCAGGAATAAAGAAATTGCTTCTGCAGCTGTCTCCTAGCACCGGAAGTTATAGACTATTCTGGAAAACCTTAGGTTTCATAACTTGCCTGATGGCAGAAAAAAGTCAGGGAAGGCACTGGACTTCTGCTTTCCAGTCTTTAGCAAGAGGGTCTGAAAGAACTTGAGTCATTTCCTGAGGCCTGACAGCAAGGGAGTCTTGGACTAAGCCTAGTTCCTACCCTCTTTAGCAAGAGGACACTGGGGCTAAAGTTACACAAGCTGCTCACCTGGCCTGCCCACAGTAGCTGTGCACTTTCTACCCAAATGGCTGATTATTTCGGTGGAGATCCCTTTGCTGGGATAACGGCTGCTAATCAGTCAGGAGGTCAAGGAGCAGCTCACACCGGGGAAGCATGCCATAAAATGATTAGAATGTGTAGGACATCCTTTGAGTATTTCGTTGGAACCTTGTGAAGATGCTGGGGCCTCTGGCATGTTGGGACCATCTTTGCTAACTCACTCATGTATATTCTTTTCCTTCATGTGAAGATTGACTTAGGATGCCCATCCCTCAGGTGCTACATGTTGGCAAGATTTTCCTTTACTGAAAAATCACTTTTTTTTCTTCATTACATTAAGATCAATGTTAAAAACAATTTTTTTTTTGTTTTTGATATAGAGTAAAGCAAAACACAACAAATACCATACTGAAGACTTCCCTTTTTTTTTTTTTAAATCAAAAGTATTTTTGACTTGAATAGCAAAATTTCTCTGTTACGTTTATTTTATGGAGATATTGGAAATGTATTTTTTGCAGTACTGAGAACAGAACCCAGGGCCTTCTGCATGTGATGTAAACATTCTGTTGTGAGCTCCTTTCCCAGGCAGAAGATAACATAGATTTTAGAGGAAAGTTTCCACAGTGCTTGGATCTGCAGACTCTGACATCCCTTCTCATGTTTCTGTTTTGCTGATGAGGTCAAATATTAGGCATGTCACGTGTTTGTCATCGGGTGGAGGAAAACACCACTAAGACCACAGCTGATGTTAGAAAATTAAGCTGGTTGTCTGAATAAGATCAAAATATTTAGAAAATGTTTTAGACTTTTTGAACAATTTTGTTGCACAAAAGTCAGATTAATTTTTTTTTTTTTTTTTAAATATTAGCCTAGGGAGGAGCTTGGAGAGATGGCTCAGAGGTTAAGAGCACTGGCTGTTCTTCCAGCCACTGGAGTTCAATTCCCAGCAACCACATAGTGGCTCATAGCCATCTATAATGAGATCTGGTGTTCTCTTCTGGTGTGCAGGCAGAACACTGTATAAATAATAAATAAAGCTTTAAAAAAAAGAAAGAAAAGGAAATAAAGAATTAAAAAAAATGTTAGCCAAGAATGTAAGTATTTTGTTTCAGGATTATTGGCTAATATTTGTGAAATTTTAAGCACAGTTTTGAATCATTAAGCTTTTGATCTTATAAGCACTTTTGTTTACATCTATGAAAATTTTATCAATCTCTCCAAAATACCCTATTTTACAGTATTTTTTCCTGAGGTCATCAATTCCTTTGTTTGCTAACAACTGGGTTAGCAAAATCTGTAAGTTTTGTGCGAGGTGGTGGTTTTCTGCAGTGTTCAGTGGCAGCAAAATAATTTTGCAGTAATGACAGATCACTTTAGTAAAGGCTGAGACAAGAAGCCATTTGAGGGAGTCAGCCTGTTTTCAGCATTCATTAGCCATTTGCTAGCATGTGTCGATTTTCTTTGCAGACATCTGGAGAGAAAGTGGGCAAGCTGAGCTTAGTGGATTTAGCTGGCAGCGAGCGAGCTACGAAAACCGGAGCTGCGGGCGACAGGTTGAAGGAGGGCAGCAACATCAACAAGTGAGCTTTCCCAAACCAGACTCTTGAATTGCCTGATGGAACTGATAGGAAAATAGGGGACATCTGTGCTTATTGGAGTAAGATGATTCTGGAAGGATTGAGGCAATGATGAATAAGCAGTTTGGATGTTTTTTCCCTAGTGTTTTTCATGGGCCCAGGCTCATTTTCTTATCTGTGGAGTTGCTGATGGGACTGAGGAGCACAGCCCTCAGTCAAGTCGGGCCTTCTCAACAATGGCACTATCAACATTGGGCTTAGATGACTCCTTTTCCTGGGGGTGGAGGATGTTGTGCGCTGTGGGATATTCGATAGAATCCCTGATGTCCGCTCACTGTGTAATGTTAGTATCCACTTGCTCTTCCTTGACTCCCAGCTCTGACAGCCCAGTCTCTTTCTTGTGACTTGCTGTTACCCCTGGAGCATAGTCATCCATGCTGTAGACAAAACCAGTGGCTGTTTGGCTCTGAGAAGCTCTTGGCTCTGTGAACACTGTGTGCCAGCCACATTGGGCTGTAGCTTTATGTCTACTGTTGTGTTTGTCAAAGTCTCAGAAGCAAGACTTTATGAAGTAATGCTACACTTGCCAGGTCTGTCACATAAATAGCTCTCCCTCAGGCTTCATGGTTCAAGTCTTCCCTCTTCTCAGGGCTCCCATAGCAATGAGGTTAGATGTTAGCCAGCAAGTGGGGACTGTGGAACACTTCTCCAACACTGGGCTCTGATGTGCAGATGTCAGCTTATTAGCACTATTGCTTTAATCAGATTTTTATCTTGGGCATCCTTCTTGAAGGTGTTTATGCTTATGTTATTATTTTCACCTGATATTTTCCAGTTCATGTAGGTTATCTGCAAAATGAGAGGTAAGCAGTGCTAAGTGTCTTTATTGCTTCAAGTAGTCCAGATGGACAGGATCCCTGTGCTCAGTCTTCAGGTCAGACAGCAAAGTGCTGACTGAATCACTGCTCACATGCAGGCAAGGGCACCTTGCTGTCCATCCATGGGACATTTGATATGTTCTGGCTTAGCTAATTGTGTTTTTTGTTCTATGCAGGTCCCTCACAACCCTGGGTCTGGTTATCTCTGCTCTAGCTGATCAGGGTGCTGGCAAAAACAAAAACAAATTTGTTCCCTATCGGGACTCAGTTCTCACTTGGCTGCTCAAGGTGAGTCATTTTCTTTGTCCTTCATCAGTGTCTTAGGGTTTCTATTGCTTTGATGAAACACTATCACCAAAAAGCAAGTTGGGGAGGAAAGGGCTTATTCATCTTATATTTCCACATTGCTACTCATCACCAAAGGAAGCCAGGAACTCAAACAGGACAGGAACCTGGAGGCAGGAGCACATGCAGAGGCTGTGGAGGGGTGCTGCTTACTGGCTCGTTCTCATGCCTTGCTCAGCTTGCTTTCTTATAGAACCAGGGCCACCAGCCCAGCAATGACACCATCCACAATGGGCTGGGTCCTCCCCCATTGATCACTAATTGAAAAAAATGCGTTTTGGCTGGTTCTCATGGAAGCATGTCCTCAGCTGAGGCTCCTTCCTTCCTGATGACTCTAACTTGTGTGAAGTTGACACACAACCAGTTAGCATGCCTCCCGTGGTTGGCAGAATGGAAGAGTAAGGAGTAGGCTGATCTCTTCCAGGTACCTTTTCTCCATCTGTGTTCAGCTGTATAGCTTTTAGGCTGTTTGGACAGTTTCAGTTTTCTGGAGCAAGTGTCATTTTATTGTTAGTGTTTGGCATTCTTGTCCAAGTGTTGTTGAACATACAGTGGCCCCTGGAGATTGTGGGGCAGAATGACCTCATGCTGAGGGGACAGTGTGGTCACTCACAGTGTCTGGTGCTTGACAACCTGCTCTGGGCTGCGCTGCCCTGTTTGCTCACAGACAAACACTTGTGTTTGATAGCTTGGGCTTATTTTCTGTTTCATTCTCCCCTGAGCCTTTGTTTTTTTTCCCTTTGCTTTTTTCCCTTTCCCAAAGCTTCTGCTGAATGGAGAGTAGAGCACACAGCCATTTCTCCATTCATGTGAACAGGGACAGAACATAGCTTTTTCTCCTCTAGTGTGAACAAGGAACAGAAATGTGAGAGGAAAACCTCCATGAAGTGCCATGAGGAAACAGGAGGAAATCTCCCACCCTTGGTGAGAGGAGAGCACGAAGGGTTAGCTTACAAGTTTGTTAGTGATTTCACAATGGACAGGTCCCCTGGGGTATTTTGGAGGTGGTGTGGGAAGTGGACATCAGGCTGAGTATTAGAGAAGGTAAACTAGGTGACAGCTTTGTAAAGGTGTCAGTGTGGAACAAAAGCTTCTGCCTTTGTAATACTCTCCATGGTCCATGGAAAACACTGGGGAAATGGTACTTAGTTAAGAATGAGATCTCTCTTCTAGAGACCTGAGTTCAGTTCTCAGAATCCATATAGCTTAGCTCACAGTTGCCTGTAACTCCAGCTCCAAGGGACCTGGCCCCAAAGGTGCTGAACCGATCCATATAAAACTACACAGAGAAACACACAATTAAAAACAAGGAAATAACTTTTTGTGCCTGGCTAGTCTAGTGATGGCTCATTTTCTCACTGTAAGAATGTACTGTTCTTGCTATAGTGAAACAGGGCACCCAGGGAGCTTAGTAAAGCTCCATTGACTGAGTACTGTTTAGAGATCAGCCTTTGCCAAGGGAAATACTTTCTCCTGACTGTACACACTCAGGGTTCCTTCCCTGCCTCTCCCCAAGCAGAGTTTCTCTGTGTAGCATTGGCTGCCCTGGAACTCACTCTGTAGACCAAGCTGGCCTAAAAGTCAGAGATCTGCCTGCCTCTGCCTCCTGAGTGCTGGGGCAAAAGGCGTGAGCCCCCACCACTTGACTACACCCAGGTTTCCTCCAATCCCTTCTACGTAAAACTGTACACTTTTGAAACATTGTGTACTAACTGCAGTAAGTTCTGTAGAATTGTAATCCTAAAATCAGGTATGTCATTGCAATAGAAAATAAAAAAGATGGCTTCCTTTGGCCAAAATGCAATATAACGTGAAATTTTAAACAGGAGGCAAGAAAAATTTGATAATTTAAAAACCACTTGTAAACTGGACATACCTGTAATCCTAGCACTAAGGAAGCTGAGGCAGAAGGATTGATTCCAGTTTTAGACCAGCCTGGGCTACGTAGCAAGATCTTGTTTCTCCTGTCTCCCTAAGAATTACTGTTGAATGAGTACTGTAGATCTTTTATTACCAGGGAGTGTGTCAGGAATTACTGCATAGCCTGTGGCTTCAGGAAGAAAATCTGAGAAAGTCCTTCTCTCTTGGACCTCTGTAGAGGCATTGCATGGCTATTCTCTTGAATATTCTGCTTGATTTAAAATGAGAGTCTGCATGCTCGCTGTGACTTCAGTTAAGACAATAGGCAATCTCTTCTTGTTGGTTCAGTTGGTCACCATTAGTTACCAAGTGTCTGTCCCCAAAGCTGAGCCCGTGGCCCCTGTTTCAGGAGAAACAGGTGTCAGGCAGTCGTGTCTACTTGTGTCAGGAGGTGAGGTGTGAACTGCTCTGGTTGGTTCCTGCTGGGTGGTGCTCCTCAGTAAAGGTTCATTGAGACTTTCCACTCAACTTCCCTGTTTTTGATTGAAAGTAAGGAAGATGTTCATACTGTGTGAAGAATGAGTCAAAGCTGTAATTGCAGCTTCTTTGTGGTGCTTCAGCTTAAAAAACAAGGCATATTTGTTTAGGTGCTGCCATTAGTTTTTAAGACTTAAGTTTTAAAGACTTACATTTTCTGTTTCATGTCATATTTGACGTTTTCACCAAGAACTTAAGTTGAAGAATTTAAAAGCTTACTTCTGAGCTGTAATAGTTTGCCCCTCCACCTCTGCCCAGGGCATGAATTCTCAGTTCATTTGTAAGTGGGCATTAGGTTGTTGCCTTGTCCTGCTTTAATTTATAGTCCATTCCCATCCCTTGCCTGCTGATTCTCTTTCAGCGTTGGTGTGAGATTAACACATCCCCCAGGAAGACTTTCACTGAGCTCATAAAATGCCTCTTTTTTTTTTTAAAGAAATGGATGTGTATGTGGGTGTGCCAGAGGTCAGCCGTGTTGTCATCCTCCTTGACTTTTGAGGCAGGGTCTCTCCCTGGGATCTGGGGTTAGGCAGTTAGGCTAGGCTGAGTGGCCACTATGCTCCAGCGGTCTGCTGGTCTCTGACTCCTCACTGCTGGGATTACAGGCATGTGCTGATACACCAGGCTTTTTATGTAGGGGCTGGGGATCAAACTCAGATCCTCATGCTTGAGAGTTAAGCCTTTTTTTGACTGAGCTATCTCCCTAGTATCAAATTGCTCATCTTTGACAAGCTTTGCATATTTAGTTGTGTTTGCATGGCATTTATGTAATATTTGTGCTGTGCACTTGATGTTTATCACTGTCTGAGTATGGCTCTCTTTAACCCCCAGTCTGGGAATATGTGCCCAGATCATAAGGGCTAACCTTCACTTTTATTCTTAATGTCAGTTCCCTACTGGACATCATGTGACTCTCTCACCTAGCTGACAGTCATTTCCCTTGGACTTTGTTTGTCCAATCCACTCTCCAGTTTCTAAATTCATGGGAACTTTAAGCCTCTTCAGTAACTGTCCTTCAGGCTCTTAGAATCAGGGCCAAGTTCTTTAATACATTCCTTGCAAAGGCCCTTCATGGTTGACCTTTGCTCCTAGTTTTTAGCCTGGCGTTATAGGTTCCAGTTGAGTGAAGATGGCTGTTTCACTTTAGGAGTTTATTCTTGCTTGTCACTTCCATCTCTCCTGTTCCTCTCTCCTGTACCTGTGCTGCTTCACAGAGAGGTCTGGAGTGCCTTCTCTTCTGGGTTCTTTACATTCTTTGTGCTTCCAGACCCTGTGTTTACCTCTTACACAGCATTGCCTCTTCTTTTAGATGGCAAACCCCACGAGAGGGGATGAGCAAACTATCCCAGCTCTGCTCTGTATTAGCTCTGACCTTTGTTAAGTCTCTCTGCCTTTCTGGGTCTCAGTTTCTTCGAAGAACAATGAAGTAATTTGATTAGATGACTTCAGAGCTCTTTCTTCGTGAAAAGAAAAATTCCAACTTCTAAAATGAAATTTCTCTCCAGTGTCTATTTAATTTGCATTGCCACATTTGAAACAAAGCTTGTCTGATTTGCTTAATTAAGGAATAAACAAGAAACTGTAAACTTTCTCTTGGATGTCTGCCCAGTCTTTTGTTACGTTTTTCCTTTTTGTTCAAGGCAGTGTGAGCATGTTGCTGTTCCATGGTCATTCAGTAAATCAGGCATGGTTGTGCCCAGCTCCTTTTCTCAGGCTAAGCACAGCGGCAGCTTGCTTAAAACCCCTGCTAGTTATGCCAAGTCCCATTTGTCATCCATCTTTGCTGTGCCTGTGGGTAGACTGTACAGTAGCCCTTAAGGGATATGTTGCATCGCTGTTGGGTGGAACTGCAGTCCCTGAGACGTTCCTATCCCATCTGAATGTCATTAACGTGCAGGGGACCCCTCAGGACAATCCCGGAGCATTGACAATGTGAAATCTGTGTCTAGGAGTGAAAAGAGAATCAAGCAGCCTGCCTTCTGGGAGTCCAGATTGGTTACATTTCCTGTCTTTCTATATACAAGAACATGTTTTCTTCAATACGACTATCTCTGTTTTCTTTGAAAAAAACTAAAATATCAGTGATGGATGCATAATCGTACATATGGTCTGTGATTGTATTAAGATATTGATACCTTGGGAAGTACTTTGTTTCTAATCTCAGGGATAGAATAATTTGAAGTTCTGTCAAGTGATCTGACTCAGCTTTCATACATGAAGTTACTGTGGTTGCCAAGAACTTATTGTGGGTGGCTGTGAGGGAGGAGAGGCACATTTGGAATTGAAAGCGGAAAATACCTGGGAAACAGTATTGCTCAGTCTGCTAGTTCTAGCTTGTTAGGCAGGTTGTTGGTACGTTTGTTTGTTTTTGTCTTTTTCTTTTTTTTTTTTTTTTAATAACAAATCTGCCTTCTCACTAGTAGAGTGGGGTTACTAATAATTGAATTCACAAAAGGCAGAGAACTTTATAAAACTCAAATTCTAACAGATTTTGTATTAAAATGGAAAAAGCTATGTTTTCAAAATTAAGAGTTTTCTATAGGTGAATATTGGCCAAAGCCAAGAGAGCTTTCTTGTGGATGCAGTGAATGAATTTTGTTCATGGAGACTGTTTTCTGAAAGAGGACATTGAATCTTTATGTTTCATGTATGTGGGTCCATGTGCTTACATGTGTGCACGTGGAAGCCAGATAACAACCTTATGTATTATTCCTCAGGCTCTGTACACCTTTAAAAGCATATTTTAAAACTTTTATTTATGTGTATATAATGTTTGTGTGTGTGAGCTTATATGCACCACGGGCAGGTAGGAACCTGCAGAGGGCATCAGAACCCCCTGAAAATGGAGTTGTAAATCACCTTGTGGGTCCTGTGAACTGAACCCAGGTCCTCTGAAAGCAGTGAATACTCTGAACTGCTAAGCAGTCTCCCTAGTCTTAACTAATTTTGAGACAGGGTCTCTCACTGGATTGGAGCTCATCTAGTAGGTCAGGCTTGTCAGCAAGTCCCAGGGCTCTGCCCTTGTCTGCCTGCCCAGCACTGGGATTACAAGTGCACACCGTCCTGCTTAACTTTTTACGTGGCTTTGGAGGACTGAATTCAAGTCCTTGCATTTGCAAGACAAGCACTTTAAGTGACTGAGCTTTCTCTCAGCCCTGAACATATTTTGTGTGTGTGTGTGTATGTGGTGTGTGTGCACACACGTGTAATTGTGTATGGGTGTGCATGTACTTATTGTGGGTGCATGTAGTGTGCATGATTGGTGCTGGGAACTTTCCTTTATTGCTCTCTACTTTATACACCAAGACAGGGTCTGTCACTTGAACCCGGAACTTTCAATTTGGCTTGTCTAGCTAGCTAACTTTTTTCAGGAACCCACTTTGCTTCTTATGCTGCGGGATTATAGGACTTGGCTTTTACATGAGTGCTGGAGATCTGCTCTGATCTTGATGCTTGTATGGCAAGTGCTTTCCCCAGTGAGTCATCTCCTCAGTCCTGACTCTCTTGTTTAGTTTTTTATAATGTGTCTAAGCCTTGCATGGTATAGTAATGTCTGCAGTTATCTACTGTCCTGTAACACCATACTCCAAGGGCAGTCTTAAGTGCTTGGGGCGAGGGCCCTATGTCCTCTAGTTTAAGTGTAAGCCAAGGCTGTAGTCATCTGGAGGCCTGAACCACGAGTGAGGGTGTTGCTCATTTCCATGGTGACAGGAAGAACTCAAGTACCTGCTTCCATTTTCACTTCTGTGGCTCTCTTCATAGGACTGCCTTACCTCATGGCAACTCCTTCTGAGAGTAAGAAAGAATATCCTAGACAGAGATCATCACCTGCTTTTAATTTGACCTCAGAAAGTGACATGCCATCACCTCTGTCACCTTTGCTGTATTGCCAGTTTGAGGCCAGTTTTTTTTTTTTTTAAATTTTATTTATTTTTTATTCTTCATTAATTACACCTTATTCACTTTGTATTCACCCTATGGTTCCCTCCCTCCTCCCGTCCCAATCCCTCTCTTCTTCCCACCTCTGCACGCATGCCCCTCCCAAAGTCCACTGATGGGGAGATCTTTTTCTTCCTTCTGATCCTAGTCAATTAGGTCTCATCAGGAGTGGCTGCATTGTCTTCTTCTGTGGCCTGGTAATGCTGCTCCCCCCTCGGGGAAGTAATTAAAGAGCAGGCCAAGCCAGTTTTTAAATGCTGACCACATACAAGGGAAGAGCCAAGGACTAGTGGTAGAGACGGCTTGAGGCACTATCCCTCAGAGGAGTGACCTTCAGCATTCTTTGTGAGGTTGGTGGAGTAGGAGTTGACTTGGTGATTTTTAAGTTTTATTTTAATTTTATTTAAATTTTTTAAAAACTTATTTAGGTTGGCCTCAAACTTATGATTCTCCTGCCTCCACCTCCTTCAGCAAATCCTGCAAGCATGCACCACCGCAACTGGTGATTTTAAGGTTTTTGAGGGTTTTTCCTTTTTTGTTCTTTTTAGTACTGAGATATAACCCAGAGCATGCATGCTTGGCAAGTGTTCTGCTACCACATAGCTCATTATTTTTAATGTTTAAGTTAGTGGTAGTTTTCCTTTCTGTTGGAAGCCAGTTACTGGACTTGCAGATAAATAGCTTCCTTGGGACCTGTGAATGAGCTGTGGAAGCCGTTGTATATAGCATGTGTTAATAGTTTCTAGAATACTAGCAGAGGGAAGAAAATGAAGCTTCTGTACCTCAGCTTTTGGTTTGGCGGGTCTAATTGTCCCTTAGGTTTCAGAACCTTACAAGGTTCCCAAGAACTTGTGCCAGCAGGACAGGTGGCACTGTGGAGGAGGGTGTAGGTAAGCCTCTTTGGGGCTGGGAGTGTGGCTCAGTGGCACAGCACTTGTCTGCATGCTGGGAGCCCTGGCTTCCATTTTCAGCACTACCAGATTCTCCAAAGGAGCTGATACTGTGCGTGTCTAATTTCTCTGGGGGAGCCTAGCCATTGAAGTCTTTCCATTCTGAGTAGCTTGGTTAGAATGGTGCTGCATTGCCTATTAAGTGGAATACGCCAGCTTTGGATAACTTTCATTTTAAAAATGACTCTAATCTGTTGGGTTTTTCCTATTCTTTCTTGAAAAAAAAAATCAAAGGATTTGTTGTTGTTTGGAGTTTCTTTTTTGTTTATTAAGAAAATAATTGGAGCTGGGTATAGTGCACACCTTTAGTTCCAGCATTTGGGAGGCAAAGGCTGGCAGATTTCTGAGCTTGAGGTCAACCTGGTCTACACAGAGAGTTCTTGGACAGCCAGGGATTCACAGAGAAACCCTATATTGAAGCCTGTGCCTTGCTACCACCTACCCCTTCAAAGAAAAGAAAGAAGTGATTGGCAGAGAAGAGACAGCCCAGGTTCGAGCCTCATGTGGGTCTGCATGTGAGCCCCTACTTGTCTACATGTGCTTGGCCTTGAACTTTTTTATTCTTCCAGATTATAGCTTTTTTATGTGATGTCTTCTTTCAACTTAAAAGACCCCTCACTGTTTTCTTCCCGGTAGGACAGTCTGGGGGGTAATAGCAAGACCGCCATGGTGGCCACTGTGAGCCCAGCTGCTGATAACTACGATGAAACCCTCTCGACCCTGAGGTATGCTGATCGAGCAAAGCACATTGTCAACCATGCTGTGGTGAATGAGGATCCTAATGCTAGGATTATCCGAGATCTCCGAGAAGAGGTGGAGAAGCTCCGTGAGCAGCTGACCAAGGCAGAGGTATGAGGCACAGCTGGTCAGGCTCTGTCACAGAGGGCCATCTTGGCAAGCTGCTGCATGAATTTTCTTCCCCTGATTCTGTTCTTCTTGAGCAGGACTCTGCTAAGGATGTTGGAATTCCCTATGGGAAGGGAAATTTGAGTTAAGTGAGAAAAGCAGGTTGTCATGTTTGAAATTTAGAGGTTTTTTTTAAAAAAAATTTTTTTATGGCTGTTGAAAGGATTGGATAGGAGAGAATAAAGGGAGTAGGAATTTTTTTTTTTTGTCCAGGAAGCTGACAAGAGGGGAGAGAAAGAGTGATAGAGACAGTGGGGACAAAGTATGTGATTTAATATTGTGCAGAAACTAATTGGGCTTACAGTTGTGGGGAGGGAGTTGGATGGATTTTTTCTCATCTGTTAGCCTGCAGTCAGAACAGAAGACATTCTCACCTTTCTAGTCTTGTTATGGGTGCGCTATGCTTGTTGGGTAGCACTATAAACTCTCAGGACAGAAGTAGCTGAGCCTGGTGGTGTTCGCTGTGTGGCAGGTGATGCCTAGGTTCTGTAATGGGCTTTGAAGGTCACAGAACTTGCCTAGACACCAGTATTTTTGTATAAGCGTGAAATGTCAAAACTTCCTGCTGTGGTTAGTGTTTCTGTCCCAGGGACTTGTCTCTGGAGCTGGCACCGCAGCCCTGTCCTGTTGCAGTCATTGCTCTCATTATGGTAGAAAGTCATGAAGCTACGTGGTCACAGCAGTTATGTGATCATGTTTGTTTGGTTGTTTCTATTGAATTTTATTCTTGCTTTTACAGTTCTTCAGGAATCTTGGGGACGTGGTTTCTGTTTTTTCTTTTATTAATGTCACCATTTGGTTGCTTCTCTGCCTTAAGATCAAGTGTTACTAACACTCCAGTTTGCAAAATGCCCACATGTAACTTGTATAGCCTTTAGTAAATTCTTGAACTCATCATTAGAGAGAGATTGAGATAAAGCATGCCTGTGAGTCTAGGTGTACAATTTATTGGAATTAAAATTATTAGCCCTCTATAAATAGCTTGGCACATTTATCTCCTTAAATGTGGTGAGAGCTTCACAGTTGGTTGGAGGAAAGGGAAGAGTTAAGTTGTTTCTCTGAATGTGCCATAGTGGATTTGTGGCTCTGTAGTCATCCCAGTATAGGTGTTGTGGTCCATGAGGTCCACCACCTTGCTGTAGATAGGTGGAAAACTCTGGCAGGTGGCAGCTATTGTCTTTTCACAGCCGGTAGATTGTTCTTTCCTGACACTGAGCAGACATTTTGTTTTTAGGCAATGAAATCCCCAGAACTGAAAGATCGTCTGGAAGAATCTGAGAAGCTCATTCAGGAAATGACTGTGACCTGGGAGGAGAAGCTAAGGAAAACCGAGGAGATTGCACAGGTTTGCCGTGGGCTTGGGTGGCGGCCGTATGACAAATTTAACATGTTGTTGGGCTCTCATGTCCCCCGGGGCTGCACTCCAGAGAGTCAATCTAAAGGTAAAGATTTCCTAGCTTTGGTAGCTTGTTTCTTGTGTGAGAAATGATTAGTTTTGTAGTACTAGCATTTATTTGTTTGTTTATTTATTTATTATTTGTGCTGGAGATTAAATTTAAGACCCCATAAATCTAAGTAAGTACTCTACTGCTGAGCTATAACTTATTATTGAGAATTTCATACATTTATACAACGTGTTTTGAACACAGTCACTTCCCACTTCCTTATAACTGTTGTTCATATCCTCACGGGTGTGTGGCCATTCACTGGGGCATTGTTGACCTGACAGGTACCATACCTTTTAAGAAAACTGACTTTCTGTCCCCTAGCAGTTCATCAGCTGCCACTGATTTAGGGTGGAGACTCCTGAGTCCCTACCTCCTCCATTCTGGAATATTGACTAGCTTGATCTTGTACTGGTTTTTTGGAGGCAGCCATAGCTGCGGTCAGTTCAGGACTGCAGTGGTCCTGCCATGACAGGGACACTGTTTCACTTGGCTGCTTTCCAACCTCTCTGGCTCTTCCAGTCTTTCTGTCTCTTCTTCCTTGATGGACCCTTAGCCTCATGGAGGGGTTTCCTACAGGTGTCTATTTTTGCCAAGCCCTAATTTTTTAACTTGTAAAATTTATGTTTTAAGTTTACACTGTTGTGGACCTGGTTGGTAACTCTGATACCCGTGACCTGAGAGGAAGAAGCATTAAGTTCTGTTTGACTCATGGTAGTTCAGGGCAGGAGAGTGAGTGTGATAGGATGTGAAGGAGAAGACATGGGACAGCTTAAGGGCGCTGTGAACTCTATGTTGAGGTGTTCTGGCCTTCATTCTGGCAAAGTGAAACTTTTATACATTCTGGAAAGAAGAGAAAGATATTATTGTCTTTATGTTTTCCAAGAATGCTTTTATTTGTGGGTAACGTTGTAGGATAAAGTTGTGGGGCAGTCTTCTGATACTCTCAGATCCTCTGTCTCACTGCCTATGTGGCCAGAATCACCTCTTCTCTGATGTGTTCGCAGGAGCGGCAGAAGCAGCTTGAGAGCCTTGGGATATCTCTTCAGACTTCTGGAATCAAAGTTGGGGATGACAAGTGCTTCCTGGTGAACTTGAATGCTGACCCGGCTCTGAATGAACTCCTGGTGTACTACTTGAAGGTGAATGCAACGCCTTCTGAGCAGGAGCGCTTTCTGAGACGCAGGAAACTGGGCTCCGTACTAATTGCTTTTATGTCATCAGTTGGAGAGAAGGGCAGGCTTGGGTTTTTGGAATCAGTTACCTTTTTCTGTCGCTCAGTGACATCATTGAACTACTTTTTATGTAAAAGAACATTCTGATATTATTTCCAGCAAGTTAAATAATGTACCCACCATTATTTAATATAATTTCTAGGGACTACTTTCTTAAACAGAAGAGGAAATAGTTCTTACTCAGAGCCACTTGCTAGGAGACTGGTGTTCCCAATAACTTAGGGAAACATTTAAAGTTCAAACTATCAACCTATTAAAAAAATAAAAAGGAGAACTGATCATCTCAACATTGGGAAGTATGAAACAGAAAGGAGAACACAGAACATATTGAAATCTGAGAACCCTGAAAGACCAAAGAAGCAGGAAAGATCTTGAGCCTGACGTAGCAAGATGTAAGACTTGCCTCATATTCCCTTACCCATTCTAAGTTAATTACACGTAGATTCTAGCCCAGCTCATTGCATACCAGGTGCAGTTTCTTCCCCTCAGATACATGGATTAATATGACTAGGAAAGTGGAGCTGGCTTTGTTCAAGTTACAGACAGTTGTAAAGAATGGTGTAATTTCACTTCCAAGAACACTCGCATTGGCTAGTGTCCTTTTGCTCTCTATTGCTATGATGAAAGATCATGACCAAGGCAACTTGGTGAGGCAAGGGTCTATTTTAGCTTATAGTCCATCATGAAGGAAGCCAGGACAGGAGCTCCAGATAGGAACCTGGAGGCAGAAACTGAAGCAGAGAGGAACTCTGCTTACTGGCTTGTTCCCATGGCTTTCTCGGCCTGCTGCCTTATACTATACTACCTAGGACCACCTGCCCAGAGGTGGTGCTGCCCATAGTGGCCTGGGCCCTTTCACATTAATCATGCATCAAGAACATGCCCCATAGACTTTCCCATAGGCCATCTGATGGAGGCATCTTCTCAATTCAGGTTCCCTCTTCCCAAAGGACTCTGGTTTGTGTCAAGTTGACAAGTGCCAAAAAAAAACCATCCAACACAGCTAGTTTCCTACTTTTCATTGAAAGTATGCTGGAATAATTGCTTTTTATCATTTTGATGAGTCGCTCTTTTTGCTATCTTGTATGATGTTTGGCAGTGCTGTGAGTTAAATAATGTCTTTGACACATACATGAATATGTGCAGATCTAATGCAGAGTTAAGGCTTTTCAGGTTCTTTCTTTACACACTGGAGGAGATTGCCTCTGGCTAGCTTCCTGGGTTCATGTGAGGACTGGGTATATGGACAGACTTTATAGACAGAAACACTATACAACTATACTATATTCTTTATCCTGTTTCTCCACACATATTATTTTTGCCTATTAAAAATAATACGTTTGATTGAAGAGAAGGCTCAGTTAAGAGCCTTGGCTGCTCTTCTAGAGGAGCTGGGTTTTATTCCTAACACCCCTATGGTGGCTTACAGCTGCCTGTAACCACAGCCAGAAAAGGTGGTGCAGGCCTTTAATCACGACACTTGGGAAGCAGAGACAGGAGGATCTCTGAGTACAAGGCCAGCCTGTTTTACACAGAGAGTTCAGGACAGCCAGCATTACATAGTGAAACCCTGTTTCAAAACAAAACAAAACAAATAAATCCAACTGCTTGTAACTCCAGTTCTAGGGGATCCAGTGCTCATAGACATACTTGCACACACAGTATCCATACACATAAAATAAATAGAAAATTAAAAATAATGTCACCACAATTCTCATGGAACTTTTAAGCAATGTTGGCAACATTTTTTTTTTAGTATGCTGTATAGTATGTGCATGCACACGTACACATAGATATATGCATATGAAGATAAGGGAACAGTCTTAGATGTCATGTTCATGAAAGACACCTACCTCATTTCAGACAGCATCTCTCATTGGTCTGGTCTTTACCAACTAGGCAGGACTGCCTGGCAGGTGAGCCCCAGGAACCCTCCTCGCTCTGTCTCCTCAGGACTGGGATAACAAATGTGTCTGGCATTTGTAAGTGGGTTCTGAAATCAAACTCATGTCCTCATGCTTGCAAGCAAGTAATGCTGTATCCTAGCCCAGCATCTCTAGTTAGATTGTAAGCTGCAGACACTCATGGACTTCAGGGAATATACACAGTAGACTAAGACTGAGGCCCACTACCCTTTTAGGTTCCCAGAGTCTGGAATTTCTTTTCTTTCACAGGTGATACAGTTCAAATAACAGGATGTATAGAAAAACAAAACAAAATAACTTATACAAATACAAGCTGATTGATATCTGTTGTGTAACTAAAAAGTAAATCAGCAGCAGCTTTTTGAAAAGGAACTTTTGGAGGAGTCAGAACATTTCTGGTCCTTTATGTGGAGGCGCTGGTTCTTTTCCAGAATGGTCAGCCTCATTTGAGTCCAGTCTGAGGCAGTGCCAGGCTCACCCAAGATGGCAAGACCATACTCATGACAAGGCACATTCAGAAGAGTTAGCTCAGTGTAAGAATTTTCTCTTTAGAAAATGCCACTATGTGGGACGGGGGAATTTGGAGGCTGCACTTCACTTTACTTTTTTCTTAGCCTGCAACTTCTAAGTCAGTTATAGTAGATGTGACTTCAGATGTGATGACCTTACCTCTAGGTGGCTCTCCCCACATCATCTCAGATGTCATTTCTGCATCCAGGTTATAGGATTTTCTCCTCTAGAACATGGCCCCCTCAATATTCTACTCTACCTCATACTGTCACCTTTTTGAACCCCAGACTTACACACAGGTGGAGATACAGTTCTTACTAACTCGTCCTGTTTTTCTTACCATGTATTATTCCATCCCAGCTTTAAGTACTCATTAGATAATTTTTTTTTTTTTTTGGTGGGGGGGTGGAGCATACTTCTGAAACTGGGTCTCAGACTGACCTTAAGTTTAATAGTGTTCCTGCCTCAGCCTCTGAGTGCTGGGTTTATAGGCCTTTGTGTACCTAAGAGATAGTCTGGGAGAAAGTTCATCTGTTTTTTCTCCTGTTGCTTAGAGCATACTGTTGGCTTAAACAGTGAGCAGTAAGGAGCAGGCATAGTGCGCCTTTTGAATTTAGTGCCTGGGATCTTAGTGTACCCTCCAAATCACAGGATTGTAACCTCAAATGAGAGACTGGGATTGTCCTTTATATAGAAACTTTAATTGGGACTTGATAGTTTCTTGTGTCTCTAGTGCCTATCTCATATTTGGTGCTCAAAGTATTTGTTGAAAAAAATGAATTTCTTTTCCTACAACTTGGGTTATACTTTTGCACGTTTGAGTTGGTGTCTCCTGCTGACTTCTAATTCACTCTGTCTACAGATACCAGCACTATTGCAGACTGTGTCTTGTGTTGGTTGTACCAGCTGCAAGAGTCTTGGATAGATTGCAGCCCAAACAAGGAGAAAAATAACATTTGCAAAACAGTAATTTAGTAATTACTGATTCTTAAATGTCATGGGGTGCAGATGAGGGAGAAATCAGGATGCTCCTGCCCTGTACAGTTTCTACACTAGTTGTGATGGTGGGCAAGAAGCCTCAGTCAGTGTCAGATGAGGAATTAATGTGGGGCAGTGTGACAGTGACTAGGTAGCTGATCCAGTTTTGAAGATACATTATTAAAAGCTGAGATAGAAGGGGTTGGAGAGATGGCTCAGTGGTTAGGATCACTGGTTGCTTTTCCAGAGGACCTGGGATCAAGTCCCAGCACCCACATGGTGATTTACAACTGTCTGTGACTCCAGTCCCTCATCTGGTCTTCACAGGTCCTGCCTACCTATGGTGCACAGACATACATGTAGTCAAAACACATGCTTAAAAAGTAATGGAAGTCAGCTCTCTGTCTACCATGTTGGTTCTGGGGATTGAACTCAGTTTGTCAGGCTTGGCAGCAAGTGCCTTACTTACTGAACCATCTTGCTGGCCCCCAGGTGCTTTCTTTAAACAGCTTTTATCTTTGTAGTTGTCTTATTTTGATTGAGACCAGATTGTTTTCTTTTCTCAGGTAGCCAAAGCTGGCCTTGCACTCACTATGTAGCCAAGACTGGCTTCAAACTCCTGATCCTTCTTTCTCCACCTATTGGGGCCAGGTCTGTAGCTGCAGCTTTTAGACCATGTTTTGATATATTGTTGATACATGGCTTAAGCTCTGAGAGTGGTATAAAATATTTAGAATCAAGGTGGTAACAGAAATAACAAATATGAACAGATATGAATATAAGATTTTATTTTGAGCTTGAATGAGAATGTCTGGAGGGACATTGCCTCTTTTAAGGAGCTAGGGCTCACATAGTGAACTTGGGGAACCACCATCCATTTGTTTTCAGAGTCTGTAGCTGATGCAGCTGAGCAAAGCCAATCTTAGCACAGTATTCACAGGCAACTCTGCTTCTCTCTTAGGAGCACACGCTGATAGGGTCAGCCAATTCCCAGGACATCCAGCTTTGCGGGATGGGCATCCTTCCTGAGCACTGTATCATAGACATCACACACGAAGGCCAGGTCATGCTGACTCCTCAGAAGAACACCAGGTAACATGCTTATGTTAGTGTGAATCTCACAGGTACAGGGGGCATGAGGGACATTGGGCCAGCTTTAATTTTCAGCCGACTTAAGTCACCCTCTTATGTGCCAGTCCATTTCTATTTAATCTTAGCATCTCACACTCCCATGGCCCACTCCCATAGCCTCATAAAAAAAAAGATTTATTTATTTACTTTAAGATTATGTGTATATATATGTGTGGGGATATATACATGGGTTCAGGTATTTAAGAAGGCCAGAGGCATCAGATTCCTTGACGCTGGAATTACAAGTGGTTGTGAGCTACCTGACAAGGGTGCTGGGAATTGAACTCAGGTGCTCTGGAAGAGCAGTACATGCTTTTAACCATGGAGCCATCTCTTCAGCCTTCTTTACTCTATCTTGAGTTGAACCTTTTTACTACCTTAGGCTGCTTCCATTCACTGCCCAGCTGGCTGGCTCTCCTCTAGTTTGGGTAGGAAGTTTCTAGACTCTCCCTGGTTATCTCTTCTTCTGCTCTGCCATTCTTTTGACTTGTCAGCTTCCATTTGAATTTTAGGGCCAGTGTCTACATGGGGGAGTTCCCTGCTAGCTACACTTTTAGTGACGAAAGTAATTACTAAACCTTCTTCTCATCCAGCTAAAAATAAAGCCCAGTTCTACCCCAGGTCACCCCTGATTCCCTGTCACTGTGACATGCTGGTATTCCATATACTTCCCCGAAGTCTGAATGACAAATCCAAGTAGTTCAACTTGGGATAACTTCCCAGTGGTCTTTGGGTGGAGGATATGGACAAAAGGTTTTCAGAACTTGAAGTTCTTGTCAAACTGCAGTTTTGTTGTTGGCAACAAATGCTGCCAATTGTTTTTCTTGACAATAGGCTTTCTCTGTTCACTGCTTACCAGGAAGCCTGAAGTGCTGCTTTGTGTGTGTCAGGGCATAAATTAGTGGCGCTTTCTGGAAACTTCTCATCTTGTCAGTTGAGCCAGTAAAGGTGCTGTATGCTCAGGGTCAGGGTTTACGCAGTGCCGCACCTCTTGATCCTAGGACAGTCCAGTGGGACGTTTCTCCCTGATGAGACTACATTTGCTGCTGCAGCCGAACTGTGTGTGCAGTCTCAGCAGGGTGGCTCATGGTTTGTAACTGTCAGCACAGGGGACAGGTCGTTGACTAGCATTATCTATGTGTCAGACAGGACAGCAGACAGAGTAATGACTGGCAGAGTGTGGATGAGTATCAGCTCAGCCTCCCGTGTTTTTTTTTTTTTTTTTTTTTAATTCATTGTATTAGAAGAATGGTACCATAAAGCCTTGGATGTGCTAAGTTTAGCATATCACTACTCTATATTAGAGCTTGTGCTTTGAATGGTCATACAGAAAGAAGCAAAATGGTCAATTTTAGTGTTTGAGAATTCACATGGGGAGCAAGATTTGAGTGGGAGTAATTTGTGTGGATGGAAACACATAGAGAATCACAGGGTCATAAAGCTGGGTAAGAGCATAGCTTAGTCTGCTGTGGTGGCACATGTTCAGAAGCCTAGTGCTAAGGAGCCTGAGGCGGAAGGACCATGAGCGCAAGGCCTACGTAGTGAGAGCCTGTCTCAAAACACATACCAAACAAGGTTTATAGCTCTACAGAGCTCACAGAAACTCAGAGTGAGTGCTCAGTAGGCATTGCAGAAGAAATAGAATCAACGGTGGACTTGGATTGCAAGGAAGACTCTGGAGGCCGAGGGTGGGCCTTGTCTCTAGATGAAGCAATAAACCATTCCCTGTCGAGGAAGAGCTGATTGTGTTTAGTGTACAGAAAAGAAATCTAGTTTCAGAGGAGTTAAAGTTCACTTGAAGAGGGAAGGAGAACAAGGAGGACCTCCTTGTAGAAGGAAGGGTAGGCCTTCCATGTCAAGTTGAAAAATTTATCCCACTTCTTAGCCAATGAGTCACTTGGCAGGACAGAGGCGTGGGGCTGGTATCCTGGGAATATGCACAGGCATAGTTTTCTACTTGTGTCCCGTGCTTCCAAATTCCTCCCATGCTAGTGTTCTACCCACCGTGTCTACTGTTGAAGTCTGTTGTTGACTAAACAGCTCAGATGAAGTAATGAGACGTCTCTGGATGGAAAAGACAGTCTCTGCCATGGGCAGTTTGAAATTCCCTGTAGAGCTCCTGTTGTATCCCTGGTCTCTGCCATGGTTTCTTGAATCTGGTCACTTGACTGGCTCTTTATCCATCTGGTTGGCTGTACTTTGTTTCATTGCTCAGTCTTTCATTATTATTTATCATGGCTCCATACTTACTCCTACCTACTGTCTAAGATGTTCAGAGTTTAGGGAAACAAAGAGAGTGATCTCTGATGGTGCCATCAGTGTGTGCCTAGAACTTTGAAGACTAAATATAATAATGCATTTGAGGTAAGTCAGCCAAGATGTGACTACAGATATTTAAATTCACCAAGAGCAGGTTTTATTTGAGGAAATTAAGGCCACTGTGGTCTTAGGCAGTGGAAGCAGAGGGTATGGTAATCTTACTCATGCTACCTTTTTTTCTCACAGAACATTTGTGAATGGGTCTTCTGTCTCCAGCCCCATCCAGCTGCATCATGGGGACAGGATACTATGGGGAAACAACCATTTCTTCAGGTATGACATTGTTCACATTGTGAAAGTAGGAGACCGTTGAAGACTGTGTTCTGAAACTGAAGAGTCATTTTAAGTATGAATACCATAAAAATGACACCTTATTATGTATGTGCTCATGCAAGTATGATTATGTTATATGTCTGTTTATAGATACATGAACTCTGGAGGTTTAGAATGGCAAGTCTCCCATCAAAAGTACTAAGCTTTCATACATATTTATTTTTCTTCCCAGTGTAAGATATCACCCCCCCATCTGGTATTAGAATTATTATTTTTTTCTGATGGGTTTGCTTTCTGTCTGTCAGCCATCTGTCTGTACACACTGTTATTTTTCCTTTTGTCTGAAAAGCAGTAGTAGAAAAGCTGGATATGGTTTCCTTGGTAGTTTCTTTGACCACACTTTTAGTAAGTCCCATCACATTGGACACTGGTGGCTTAAGCAGGTCATATATTCTGAGACAGAATGAGACATCCTCAGGGAAATGGCTGCTAGAGTGAGCTGTGGCTCTCAGAAAGGCCATGGCTGTGGTCTGCCATTTCCCTGGCACCTTCCCATGGGTTAGCTGTTTCCTTGAAGCCATGAAAGAACCATCAGTTCACAGGGACAAAAGGGCAGTAAAGGAGGTAGGAATCAGCCTTGCTGTCCTCTCTTCAGAGCAGAATCTTCCTCTTAGTCTCTTGAGTGGACTCTGCCCAGTAGCTACTAGGGAGGCTGCCAAAGAAGTCTCTTCTCACATGTGACTGCAACACTGTTTCCTAGGTGTGGCTGGTGTTGTTTTGCATGGTGAGGCATGCTGGCCTCTGTAGCATTCAAACCCTGGTCTCTTCCTTCTGTCCATGGCCAATGTGCTTCAGCTGTCAGATGGACTTTTTTAAAATAACTGACACTGATTCTTACCTGTATGCTACTTGCTGTTTTGATATCAGAGAGAAGGTTAGAAGGATGCAAGCTTATGGGAAATGCTTTTCATTTTTGCCTTTTCAAAACACTAAAGTGCTGTCGACTGGTCTTGAAGGCCTCAGATGGTTCTGTGTGGCTTTTGTGTGCATTGGGATGATATAAAGTCTGTGGAGACTTGTCAGCATGTCTGGTTCTCTGTGCTGATGTGGCCCTCAGCTTTTCTCTATCACTCAGCTTGCAAAGTTGGGCGGACTCCAATGTTACCACTTGTACGCACACATATGTCTTATTTCTAGACATACGAAGCTCTTAATTGTAGCAGCTCCTTGATATTGCTGTGGCATTCCCTTGGCCTCTAGCAAGTGCTAGTATGTAAGGAATAGAATGAATTAGTGTCCTTCTTAATTTTAAAAGTAATGTCTCTTTTTTCACCCCAAGACTTAATCTGCCAAAAAAGAAAAAGAAAGCAGAGCGAGAGGATGAGGAGCATGACTCCTCCCTGAAGAATGACAGCAGTTCTGAGCAGCTGGATGCCGACGGGGACTCCTCCAGTGAGGTGTCCAGCGAGATCAACTTCAACTTTGAGTATGCACAGATGGAGGTGACCATGAAGGCTCTGGGCAGCAATGGTGAGTACAGGCTGTGCTTGTAGGAGATGCTAAGCGTGTTTCTGATGACACCTTCCCTTGGTGACCTCTGAACTCTGTCTTTGGCTACAATAATTGATTGTATTTACAGAGTGTTCACTTTCTCTGCTGTGATAGACAAGTCACTGCAACTTGTCCTCATGGGTGGAAGTTCCCAGGTTTGAAATGTGACTGCCTTTGGCTTCTTACATTCCTGGATCATTTGCTATAACTTAGATTTTGCATAGAATATGTTTTAGCCCTCTCTCTGCATGGCAGACAGTGTGAAATCTATCTTAAGTATGTAACACAAGTAACTGGCAGTTAGAAAGCCACACTTACTCCAAGTTGTCTCAAATGGTATTGGGTTATGACAGTTCGGATGATGGATGTCTGAAGTATATCTTATTCATTATGTTTTTTTTCCTAAACACGTTTAGACCCTATGCAGTCCATATTGAACAGCCTTGAACAGCAGCATGAGGAGGAAAAGCGATCTGCTCTGGAGCGCCAGAGGCTCATGTATGAACACGAGCTGGAACAGCTCCGGAGAAGGCTGTCTCCTGAGAGGCAGAACTGCCGGGGTGTGGACCGGCTGTCCTTTCAGTCGCCCAGTGCCCAGCAGCGCTTGAGACAGTGGGCTGAGGAAAGGTAGGCATGCAGGATGGCATGATTTGGGTAGCATTTGTGCTCTCCAGCGGGGAAGGTTCTGGATGGGAACACAAGATGATGCTTGCAAAAGAAAAACATTTCAAGAGAGTGTTACAGCCAAGAACTACTTTGTGTGTCTCTCTCCCTTCTTCCTCCTCCTCACCTTTCCCTTCTCTTTATTTCCTCTCCCTTCTTTCCTCTTTCATATTTTCTTCTTGTTATTGTTAATTTGAAACAGTCTTGTACATATGTGTCTCCCAAGTTGGCTTTGAAGTCACTCTGTAGCCTAGGCTGGCCTGGATCTTAGAATCCCCCTGCCTCTTCACCCTGAGCATTGGGATTGCAGGTCTCTGCTTACATGCTGCCTATATTCTTCTTTTTTTCCCACTTTCCTCTGTTTTTTTTCTCAGCACTGAGGATTGAACCTGTGGCGTACTGCATGCTAGGCAGGCGCTCTACCACCACACTGCATCCTAGTGCTTATTTTTCACTTTTGGCAAGATGGGAATTGCTGGTACATTCAGCTTTCTTTAAAACAGCCCATGTTAGCTGGGTGTGTGACACATGCCTCTAATCTAAGCCCTCAGGAGGCAGAGGCAGGCTGATCTCTTCAAGTTAAAGACCAGCCTAGTGTTGGCAAGTTCCAGGTCAGCCAGAGCTATATAGAGAGACCCCATGTCAAGAAAACCATCACCACCATCATCAACAAATGCCTTGTTAAGTGATGCCCACTCTTAGTCTGTGTGGCTTTTGGCCTTTGGCTTTGAATAAAGAAGAATACTTTACCCTTGTATCATGCTTTAGGTTCCAAAAGTTGGTAGATTTTTTTTTTTTTTTCTTTCTAAAAGGGGGAAAGAGAGTTGATAGTCTGGACTGATGGAGTTAGGTAAAGCATGATGCTAGTATTATGTAGAGTATCAGGTTGGCCTCTTTTTCACCTAATTAGCATGGCACTAAATGCTGACTTAGCATTTAGTGGTCACAGTTCCAGAGTACAGCACTATCCTCTTGCTACTCCAGTCTGTATACAGGCATCATCCCTGTCTGTTGGGGAGTGATAGGCATGTAGGTTCTCCAGTCCTACTGAGGGGCTCTTGAGTTGGTCAGGATGCTTTGTGTTTCATATGCAGTTGAGTTTGCAGAGCCCTGCACCTACCTGTGGCCAGATTGCCATGCAGAGAGTGCTGTGTTTGCAACATGGTTCAGAAACCAGTGTGTGCATGGTGGGGGTGTCAGTATCATGTTCCTGTCTACAGAAGAGAGTTGTGAATGGGCTGATTGTGACCATGGTTTCCCATATGCTGTTTTTGTGTCATCTCTACCTGCCTCCACCAGTCCTGTTTTCATTTTGTCTTAAAGAGAAGCAACATTGAATAACAGCTTGATGAGGCTGAGGGAGCAGATTGTAAAGGCCAACTTGCTGGTACGAGAAGCTAGTTACATCGCAGAGGAGCTGGATAAAAAAACTGAGTATAAAGTTACCCTCCAGATTCCAGCCTCCAGCCTGGATGCCAATAGGAAGGTGAGGTATCCATTCTCTACATAGAAAAGATGCCATCCCAGACACTGCCCTGGGTTCTCTACTCATGTGATTGGATTAGTGGGAAGATATTTCCTTCTAATTTTCTGAGTGTATGTGGCTGTTTGCATGCGTGCTTGTGTGTATCTATTAGCTACTAGGCATGAACTCCTTGCTTCCCTTGGACCTATCATTTCTTCTCACCCAGCTTCCTTTCCTCATACCTTCTTTTTAACTGCTTTTTGAGAGAAGGCCTCAAATTCAAGGCAATTCTCCTGCCTCAGCCTCCCAAGTTCTGGGAGCACAGGTATGAACTACCACATCTTCTTGAATTTGTGAATTATAATATAAGTTATAATAGTTTTGGCTGGCCTTGAACTCTCCACTCTTCTGCCTCAGCCTCCTGAGTGTAGTATTATAAGCATGCACTACCACACTGGAAACATTACTGTTCTGGAAAGAATGCCTCAGTGGCACTTAGTACATATACAGTGTTGAGCAACCACTGGCTCTGCTTGATTGTCTGCTCTTTCAGTCTTTGTAAGTAGGAAGCTGATAACATTTTTTGTCCTCAAATGAGTGACTCGGGTACCTAGATAATTTATTCTTAAAAGCATTCCATATGGCTACTCTTTTAAAAGTTTACTTTGTTTTTTTTTTTTTTTTTTTTTTTTTTTAATGTATACAGGTGCTTTGTCTGCATGTATGCCTGCAGACCAGAAGAGGGCATCAGATTATAACCTGCCATGTAGATGCAGGAAATTGAACCTAGGACCTCTGGAAAACCAGGCAGTACTTTTAATCTCAGAGCCATCTCTCCAACCCAGAAGCATTAGGATACTATTCATTTAAACAAATGAAAAAAAAAATCATCATTTTGGGGGCTGGGAAGATGGCTCATTGGGCAAAAGTGCCTGCCACTGAGCTTGACAATCTGAGTTTGACCCCCAGGACCCACATGTTGGAAGGAGAATGCCAGCCAGCTCCTGCAAGATGACCTCTGATCTCCATGTGTGCCATGGCACGCTCGCATGCACGCATACACACACGCACACACACACGCACACACACATACACAATAAATATAAAAAACCCCGCAGAGTTTGTTAGTTTAGAGTGGTGGTACGCTCTTGTATTCCTTGCCTTTAGGGTGTAGAGGCAGGAAGATCAGGAGTTTGAGGCTAGTCCGGGCTACATGAGACTCTGTCACAAAAGAAAAAAAAAAAGAAAAAAGTTTTATAAGTAACTTTGCCTTGTCACTGACTTCTGTCTCTGCAGCGAGGCTCTCTCCTCAGTGAACCTGCCATCCAGGTGAGAAGAAAAGGAAAAGGAAAGCAGATTTGGTCTTTGGAAAAGCTGGAAAACAGGCTTTTGGATATGAGAGACCTCTACCAGGAGTGGAAGGAATGTGAAGAAGACAACCCGGTAAGTTGGTGAAAAATTGCTTCCTTGGTAGTCTGAGAAGGAGCCATACCAGAGTGAATCTGCCCAGCTCTGGGGACATTGAATGCTTTTCCAAGATTGTTGTTGTAATTTTAAAATAAAATTTATTTTAATCCTTAGTTTGTTGAGCTAAGTAAAAATTTTAATAGTTGGTCATATGCATATTTTCATTTTCATTTTGCCTTTTCTCTTTGGATTTCAGCAGTTTCCCCTCTTCATCTGTTAGTGAGTGAGCGCATCTCTCTTGGCTTGCTCTGGGGTTCTCCTTGAGGCAGGCCTTCCGCACACTGTGAACACCTACCCCATAGTTCATGGCCCACATTCATCAGTGCACCCTGGTGCCTGTGCTGCCAGCAAGGCTTCTGAAGGCATTTTTGTCCTAGAGTAAGTGCCCCCACTTACTCTAGGATAAAAGAGTAAGAGCTCTTACTCAGAGTAAGCTGTACTGGTGCCGGCTGTCCTGTTGCCAGGTTTTTTTTGTTCGGGTCAGCCATGCAGTTGTGCATGCTTAAAATAGAAACACATACCATGTATTTTGTTGTTTTTGTCTAGATGTTTGTTCTTTTGAGACAGGGTCTCCCTGTAACCCAGCTTGTTTTGAACTCACGCTCTTCCTGCCTCAGCCTCCTGAGTGGGATTATGGAGGTCCACTACTACACTCTGCTATCTATTCCAGCATTTTCAAGTCTTCTGGTCCTGTTTCCAGTGGAGTTGCTTTCTTCCTTAGCTTTATTTTTTAATGTTTGTTTTTTTATATTATCATCAATACAAATGGCTTTTTATGGTTAGATGATATTTTTGCTTAAATCTGTAATTTTCTTCTGTATCCCACACCTGTTTTTATTTAGAAGTAGGTGTGAAAACAAATGTAAAAAGGTCTTTCTCCTGCTCTAATTTGCAGCAGTCTGCTTAGCCACTGAGTAGGACCTTGTCTAAAAGAACAGTGAAGAGCTACAGTGCTCTCAGCTTTTCTTTTAGTCACTCTATTTCTCTGTAAAACTTGTACATAAAGAAGTGCTTGGAGATTGAGGCAGGAGGATCTCTGAATTCAAGGCTAGTCTGGTTTGTACAGTGAGTTCCACACCAACCAAGGCTACACAGTGAGACCCAGTCTCAAAAACAAAACAAAACAAAACAAAAAACCAAACAAACAAAGGTAGGAATCAGGATACAGTGGTAAAAGTTGTTGGTTAAATGAGTTGATTTTATGTGATTTTTTTTTTTTTTTTAATTGCGTTTGAGGTTGTATGTTTGAAATCTCTTTCAGGTCACCCGTTCCTACTTCAAACGTGCTGACCCATTCTATGATGAGCAGGAAAATCACAGTCTCATCGGTGTGGCCAATGTCTTCCTGGAGACCCTGTTCTATGATGTGAAGTTACAGTATGCTGTCCCAATCATCAACCAGAAGGGAGAGGTTGGCTTTCACTCCGCCTCACTCGGCAGAGCAGTTCAGGGAACAGTGAGAGGGTGGTGACAGGACACTTGTTAATAACTTTATTTTTTAACCATTTTTGATAGGTATTTGTGTTATGGATACTCCGTGTCTCCATAGGGCTAGAAGCAGGCGTTTCCTGTTTTACTTAGACTGCAGAGTAGCTGTCAGAGACTCGCCCTTTAGAGTCCCACACGTTACTCTCTCTTGCTTTATCAGGGAAGACAGGTCCTCGCAGAGAGAGAACCCCACCCCGAAACCAGTGTTTGTTTTGCTTCCTTACTTCAGGTGGCAGGCCGGCTGCATGTGGAGGTGATGCGACTCAGCGGGGCCATTGGAGAGAGGATAGCAGGAGGAGATGATGCTACAGAGGTCAGCTCGGAAAAGGATGCCCAGGAGAACAGGCTGGTCTGTATGGTAAGCCTCAGACCCATTCTAGAAGGAGCCCAGGTGGGATCATCCGTGAGACTGCAGGCATTACGTAATAAACTAATTTTTCAACAACTTGCAAATGCTCGTCTTCAAAGAAATCTTTTAGCCTTCATTATCTTAGGATTGTGTTTGTCATCCTTCTGGAAAGACTCATTCAATACTTCTAGTACCCTCTCTGTGGTTTTGGACAAGTCACTTTTGTTGTTGTTGTTTGTTTGTTTGTTTTTTTTTTTGAGACAGGCTTTCTCTGTGTTTCCTTGGTTGTCATAGACTCACTTTGTAGTCCAGGTTGGCCTGCCTCTGCCTCCCTAAGTGCTGGGATTACAGATGTGTGCCACCATGCCTGGATGACAAGTCACTTCTTTTCTCTGCCACTAGCAATCAGGGTGAGTGAGCCTGCTTACCTGTCCTGCTCATATGAGTTTTCTGTTACTGGAGCTTTTGAGTTCTGCTGAAAATGAACGTTTGCCTCTCTGTGGTCCTGTCCCTTAGCTGCAGCCATTCTCTCTCTGCCCGGCTTCTCTGTGCTTCTCCCTTGGTGCCTAGTGCCCTTGCATGTGCCATTCCAACCCAGCCTAGCCCTTTCTGTCTGGTCTTCCTCTGTATCTGCTCATGGCACACTGTATGTGTTAACTCAAAGACCTGTGTCAGGTACCCAGGTAGAGATGAAAACACCAGGTTCCTGTTGTCCAGTAGCTAGGGATATGTGGGTATGAGCAGAAGTCTCTAGAGTATGATCGATCCGTTGCTGTAACGCAGCAGGTGCTAGGTGTCCTGGCACTTTGGGAAGCTGTGAATTCAGATGGTAGGTTCTGAGGGAGACTGAGGAAGATTCTGGGAAAATGAGGCTGTGGAGAGAGTGTCAGCCAACACTAGATTTACAGATGCTGTGGTGTTTCCTGTGTGAATACTGTAGAGGGTGTCATGCTCCCTGGCACCAGCTCCTTCCTTCCTCTTTATGGTGCGTCCTTTCCGGAGTCACCAGGTGCCCCCTAGTGGACTAGTGATGCTAGTGGCTCAGAATCCTGGCAAGAGTTTGGTGATCGGAGATCAACAATGGCCTGTAGTGTTTAAAAGAGATGATTAAAAGATCTGTGAAGACGACTAGGTCAGCTCTTGGGTCTTAACTAATCCTATGTCAGGCTTCTTCCTCGACAACTATTTCTAGAATTGAGGTTGTTGAAAGGAGTAAGTTACACACAGCAATAGATGGGGGAAGCTAGTGCTGTTGAGAACTGGGCTGCTTTCTGCAACTGTCTGCATGATGAGGGCCCTGAAGTGCTCTGAGAGATGAACTGCTGCGGTGGGAGGGGCAGGTCTTAACTCACTCTTACTCATTTGTACTTAGCTTTAGGACCTCTTCCACCAGCTCATGTGCTTGGTCATCAGAGACGGAGATGTGGGCTTTCTGGCTCCCTGTGGCCCATTTCCAAGATGACAGATAGTGATTTCATCTCCAGAAGGTTACCACAATTCCTATCAGTCGTGGTGCGTGCCCTTAATTCAATCCCAGCACTTGGGAGGCAGAGGCAGGCAGGTCTATGTTCCAGACCAGCCTGGACTGCAGAGTTCCGTGACAGCCAGGGCTATGCAGAGAAACCCTGTCTTGAAAAATAGAGGGAGAGAGTGAGAATGGAAATTTGTCTCTGAAAAAAGATGCATATCTGAAATAACATGGCTTTTTTTAGAATGACAGGATATGTTGAGATTTAATGGAAGATAGCAAGCATGAAAGTAGTAAGGAAAGTGTGGTTAATCCACAAGTGGTTAAACCAGGAGTGTGGTTAATCCCTGCTCCAGTGTCTTGACAGTCCAGTGTGGCCCAGTCATGTACATAATGCTGCCATCCCCTTAGGGGTAGCTTAATGCCATCCTGGCATCATAGTCACCTGGAAATAGCATGTGTCTTCAAGACAGTGGGTGCTTAAAGAAATAATCAGCTGGGTGTGGTGGCACACACCTTTAATCCCAGCATTTGGGAGGCAGGGGCATCTCTGTGATTCGAGGCCAGCTGGGTCTACAGAGAGAGTTTCAGGACAACCAGGGCTACACAGAAAAACCGTGTCTCACAAAACAAAAACAAAAAAAATCAAAATGGCAATTCCTTAAGGTCATAAACTATATAGTCAGCTTTGGTAAGTGTCTGCCACCCATGTTCTTTTATCTCTAGATTCTTCACTCTTTCTTACCTTGCAATTTGTTTGTTGTAGCACCTATGGTGTTGTCCTGTTGATCTGTTGATTGTCATTGCATAGCAAGTCAGAGGTGTTAGATGCAGATTGGTTCATAGCAAGGCATAATGCACCATATAAGAGGAAACAAGGGTGTGTAATAGGGACTGGTGTGTTTTTCTATCAAAATGATCGGCTTTTAAAGTCATCTTCATGTCATAATAAACTCTTAGACTTAACATATGTGTCTTTTAATCCTGGGTATTCATTACTTGTATCAAAGCTCTAATGTGTCCAAATTTGAGTGATAGTGGCCCATTCAGTTGGCTCTCAAGTCATGCAGACCTGAGTCTGACCCTCACTGACTAATAGTTTTTGGGTACGGCAAACATTTTGTCTCATCCTATGTACATTTTCTTTTCCAGACCCAGAATCCACCATTTCTTACGAAGCAGTATTCATTTGAGTGGGATATACTTCTTAGAGATCAGGCCCTCGCTGTGGCAGCCCACTGTGTAAAAAAAACAAGGGCAGATGAGACACAATAGTGAGTGAAGTTCTGGTGGCAAGTCAAACCTGGGGACAGTTTGGTACTGAGAGTGAAGGAAATCACAGGCTGTACAGACATGTGCACTCATTTTTCCAACATGAAAGAGTAGGCCCATGTTACTGTTTTCAGAAACATTACATTGAAAGCTCAGATATTGTTGATTCCTAGCAGTACACTTTGGCTCTTTCATATTGAGCTGCCAGTTTAGTGCTATCCTGACACCTTGTGGTGATTTCAATTTTTGTAGCAAAAACTTAAAAAAACAACAACAAAAATCTCCAGTAGCCTGTGTGCTTGGTATGTTTTCCTCATTCCTGGTGTTCTTTGTTCCTGGCAGTCTCAACCCTCAGGAGCTCTTGTCCACTCATCTGATGTCGCCTCTTGTTTATTTCAGCTTTAGACTGAAGTTCATTTCTGTAGGAACGAAATGGCTTTCAGATGGAATTCCATCACAGGTCAGCATGTATGCTACGTCTGCTCAGCAGTACCTGGCCCTGCTCTCATTCATCTCGGTGCTTTCATTATTGAGTCCTCAGCTCTGTAAGGGTAGACATAAATCTTCCCCTCTCTGCCTAGGAAAGCTAAGCTTGAGACTTTAATTTACACCAGCACACACACTAGTAAGTGGCACGCATCTTTTTAGATCTGTGTAACACTAAGACCTTGTAGTCACCCCCCAAAGCATATTGCTTCCTTTAAGGTATATAGAAAATATTTTAAGCATGTAGAGAAAAAGGTCAGAAAGTGTATCCTAGAATACTGATGGTCAGTTTTGATGTGGAGAGAGAAAATGCACCAGCCTTTCAGAGCCTGTCAGAGACTTGCTGTTTGGGTACCTCAAGCTTGTTGACATAACAGGAAAAATGGCATGAAGTGTAATTGATATCTGTTGCTGACCTGTTTTGTACATGTTATGCAGGAAATCTGCTTGGTGTGATTTTGTGTCCTCACAGTTCCAACATGGCATGGGTATGGTTGAGCTTATTTAACTGTAAGATCTTACTCCGCATAGTTCAGTTTATTCTTATTAAATTTATTTACTGGATATGAAGTGACTCAGACAACTTTAGAAAAAGAGCAGCTGGAGTGTAATTTATGACCACCTCAGTTGTGTGAAAATCCTCCTGGTCATACCAGATGGTCCAGATGAAAGGTGGATCTTTCTCCTTTGAGAATCCAGATTAGAAATGGGTCTTCCCACTTCAAATGATTTAATTAAGAAACCCAGCCATTTTGGTTTCAGTTAATTCTAGATACAGTCAAGTTGACAACTAGGAATAGCCATCACATATACAATTAGAATGCAGCATAACTAATAATTCTAGGATTCACTTAATAATTGTGTGGTTCTAACTACACAGAAACTTCAAATTGAAATCCAATGCTGCTGCAGAAAGTATGAAGAATGCTTGGCTTCTTTGAGATCTGGCAGTGGGAGGCTCAGTGGTTAAGAGTGTTTGCTCTCTCCTAGAGGATGTTAGTTCTGTTTCCACCATCCACTTATTCGGCCTGCAATTGCTTGTAACTCCAGCTCCAAGGGATCCAATCCCCTGTTGCACACACACACTCACACTTGTGAGCTCATTTGTGTGTTCACTTAAGTGGGACATGCTTTTTAGAGATCATATATATATATGTATATTGTATGTGTGTATATAAAAATATATATATGAATGAATGGGGCTGGAGAGATGGCTAAGAGTGGTTAAGAGTACTTGTTGCTCCTGTGAAAGACCAGAGGTTAATTCCTAGCACCCATGGCAGCTCATGACTTCTCGTAAATCCAGCAGGGGATCAGATAACCCTCTTTTGGACTCCACAAGAACCTGCACTCACATGCATATACCCACACACAATAATATACACATCCATATAGTTAAAAAATAATAAAAATAAATCTTTTTAAAAGGGCTCTGTTACAGGCTTTTTTTTGGTGGTGGTGGGGTCATTGGTCCTATTTGTCATGTGCTTCTGGCCATACTTTGTAATCACGGACTACAGGGTTTCTTTGAATGTTTACCATCACTCTTACAGAGGAGGATATGGGGTAAATGTCAGTGCAGAAAACATCAGCTCTATCATCTTCACCTCTTCTATTCTCCCTTTCACATGTTCAGTGAAATTCCCAGTAGGAGTACAATAAAAATAAAGTAATATGATTGTAGTGCATAGCATCTCTATTTCGGAATTGGGTTCCCCCTTGTACTTGAGATGAGTGAGTGAATGCCTGCCCTTTCCTGAAGATTTGCTGCTTATTGACTCAGGCATGATTTTGTGCTGTGCTCATTGTGCTAAATGGCTTTGTGCTTTCCTTCTGAAATGCTGGGTGATGTTGATTTCCAAAATCAACTTGTGCAGTGATGATAATGGTATCCTACATTCTGACAAACTTGGATTCAGATACTCTTGTCAGCTTTTAAGTGCTGTCCAGGCCCACCCAGCATCTGGTTGTCTGTCCTGTCTGTATGCTAATCCTGGGCCCACACTGAATGAGATATGCCTAAAGTAGGTGAGTGGTTGCTTACAGAGCTAGGGCAGGACCCCCTCCCCTCAACGTCTCTTCTTTGGAGCCTGCTGGTCGAGACACAAATGGAGCCTTCTTTCCTTCAGGTTAAAATACTCCAAGCCACAGGATTGCCGCAACATCTGTGCCACTTTGTCTTCTGCAAATACGACTTCTGGGATCAGCAGGAGCCAGTGACTGTTGCTCCTGAAGTGGATACGTCTTCATCTCCCTCCAGCAAGGAGCCGCAGTGTATGGTTGTGTTCGATCATTGCAGCGTGAGTTCTTCCCCTGTCTACCTCAGTGTTTTAACTCATTCACATAAGCACCACTGAAGAGTGAGTGCTGTATCTTTGCAGGATTGTGCCAGGATTTATCGTGGAGTGTTCTCTAGTCCTAGACCAAGGTGTTAGTTCATTCATTATGTCCACAATCAAGAGTTACCTTCTGAGCCAGGTGTTTTAATCCCAGCACTCAGGCAAAGGCAGGCAGATCTCTGTGAGTTCAAGGACAGCCTGGTCTACAAATCGAGTCCAGAACAGCCAAGGCTACACAGAGAAATCCTGTCTTGGGGAAGAAAAAAAAAAAAAAAAGGTTAACTTCTTTTCAAAGAAGAACAAGCTTATACAGATATGTATGTGAGTACTCTTCTCCAGAGGGAGTGTATGTTTTAGAAAAAGGTTAAGAAACTAGTGTTTGAGTGACCCCCAACAAAAATAGAAACAGGCTCCCAAAGTATTGCTAACGAAACAAAATAATTTGCTATTCTTACAGACTAGTCTTTCAAAGTAAGAAGTTTTAAAGTTCAAAGTCATTACTATGTTTATATATTCTTAATTTTAAAAGATTTTTTTTTTTAAATCTTGTGTTTCTTTGTGGGTACATGAGTACAGGTGCCCACAGAGGCTAGAGGTATCAACTCCCTAGATCTGGATTGATCTCCTGGATCAGTCCCCTGTGGATCACAACATAGGCGAGTGCGAGTTACCAGATGTGGGTCCTCTGGAAAGGCAGTTGTTGGTCTTAAGTTTGGAGCCATCTCTCCAGCCCCCTTCAGAGCCATCCTATATTTGAAAGCAAGAGTGTTTGTCTGTGTGTACCTCACTGTTGGTGTTAAGTGGCCATCTGTGCCATGAGGAAAGTGTGCCACTGTCTCTGTCTTTCCTTCCTGATAGCATTAAGGATGTGATGCCTTGTGTAAGTGGTTGCAAGACCAAGCCCGTGTGTGCTGCTCTGCAATGAGCTGTTGTGTTTCAGGAGTTTAATGTTAACATCACAGAAGACTTCATTGAGTACCTCTCAGAAGGGGCCCTGGCCATTGAAGTATATGGACATAAAATGAATGATCCTCGGAAAAATCCAGCCCTGTGGGATTTGGGAATCATCCAAGCAAAAACAAGGAGCCTTCGGGACAGGTGAATTTTTTATAACCATTGGATTTCATTTCTAATTTTAAAAAGTTGCTGGAGATGACTGTCATTTATTTTTTAATTTTTTTCCTTGTATATGTGTGGTATGTACATGTGTGTATATATATTTGCATGAGTTAGGGTGTGGGTGTGTGCTGGTGCCTGTGGGTATTAAAATTGACATGTGAAGTTTTCCTCAATCACTCTTCACCTTATTCCTTGAGACACAGGCTCCTCATGCAAACTCAGAGCTCACCAGTAGGGCTAGTCTGGCTCACAAGCTGGCTTCAGGGATCCTGTGTCTACCTGCTCAGATCTGGGAGTATAGGCAGGCATTGATCCATCCAGCACTTGTGCGTGTTCTGGAGTTCTAGACTCTAGGGTCTTCTAGTGAGTACTCTACGTATTAGTGAGTCATCACCATTGTTTTATAAATTAATGGTCACCTTTTCCCAAGCATCACCACTCTAGGGCTCTAGTGACCCAGTAAAATTTCCCTAAAGCAGAGAGGGGTGGAAAAAAGCACATGGTGTTTAAGAAGTAACAGTGAAATGAGGCTCAGGAAAAAGGCCACCACATAGTGAGTTTTGTCTGATGAGCCAGCCATGGAGAGACGGATGGCAGTTGGCTGCAGGATTCATGTTAACGCTTTCTCTCACTCACAGGTGTTTGTGCTTGGTTGCTTGTTTGATTTTGTGCTGCTGGGGTTTGAACCTATGGCCCTTTGCATGATAGGCAGCTGCTGCACACTTCTGCATCCCCAGTGCTTTCTAGTTTTGAGTGGCATCAGTGATGGGAGGAGGTAGCTCATTTGATGGCATAAAAGAGTTCAAAGGGAGTCACTGGAAGAGGGGATGTTTTTACTTTCATCTAATTATAGACAAGAACCAGATTTTCTCTTTTAGCAAATCCTAAATTAGAAGGTGAGATTTTTTTAAAATTTTCTTACTGACCTGAGAGCACATCCTTGTCAAGTCACAGATGACACCTTCCTATGAGAAGAGCATCTGTACTTGGCTTCTGAGTACATATTGTAGTATTTCAGTCATTGGATAACCATTTTCAAGTAGGTTTGTCATGATGTATTTCTCTTTCTCCCTCTTCTGTGCGTGTGTGTGCACACACGTTCACATGTGTTTGGTCACATGTGTGCATTACATGTAGAGGCTAGAGGTTGATATCACGTGTTCCTCATTGCTCTCCTCTTTATATGTCAAGGAACGATCTCTCTCATGAGTCCAGAGCTCCTCGGTTTAGCTAATCTAGATGTCCCAACTTGCTCTGGGGAGTCCTCTGTTTCTGTCTTCTGTTTACTGGGATTGCTGGTGGCCAGGCACTTACACCCACTGTTTATGTGGGTTTGAACTCTGGGCCATTGTCGAAGCTTGTCATTGTAATTTTTAAAACAAAATAAAAGTGCCAGTGACTAGAGGTATAGCTCAGTGGTAGGACATTTGTTTAGCACATGAGGGCCACTTGGATTTAGTCCTCAAAATAACAATGAAAAACCAATGAGCATCTAGATCTGTTGCTGGGAGTTTGCCTTGCCGTTCATGGTATTTGCCATTATGTGCTGTACATTTCTTTCTGATCTAAAAGTCATTTCACTGGGCTTCTCTGTTCAAGGTATTCTCAGGGTTAAGTCAGTGTCCTAGGCAGAGCAGCTTGGTTTGGTGCTGGGGAGGCAGCTCAATTGGTAGGGTGCTCACCTTGCATGCATGAAACCCTGGGTTTGGCTCACAGCACTGCATAAACGGTACATTGGCACACACCTGCAATCTCTGTAGAAAGAGGGAATAGTGAAAGTTAAAGGTTACCTTTAACTATATAGCAGTTTGAGCACAACCTGATATACATGAAACCCTGCCTAAAAAAGAGATGTAATTGCCCAAGATCTGCATGTGTTTTTTTAGGTGGAGTGAAGTCACCAGAAAGTTGGAATTCTGGGTTCAGATCTTGGAACAGAATGAGAATGGCGAATACTGCCCAGTTGAGGTGATTGCTGCAAAAGACGTCTCAACAGGAGGGATCTTCCAGCTCCGGCAGGTACCAAGATTGTGATACCATAGCCAATTTCTTGACACCAGAAGGCTTGTACTATCTTGATGATGATGACAAAGATGAAATACACAATGGTCAAGCACGTTTCTTTGAAAAATTTAAATTTATTGACATTAATTTATTTATTTTGTATGCATGTGGGTAGGTGTGTGCCACAGTGCTCATGTGGGAGTCAGAAAACAACTTGTGAGACTTTGTTTTCTTCTTTCTCCATATAGCCCTACGGTTTGAATTTTGGTTGTTAGGCATGGCAGCAAGCTCCTTTACTTACTTAGCCATCTCACTCGCCCCTTTTTAGTTTTTAATTTGTTTTCAAGACTTTTTCCTTCCTTCCTTCCTTCCTTCCTTCCTTCCTTCCTTCCTTCCTTCCTTCCTTCCTTCCTTCCCTTTTTTCCTCCCTCTCTCTCCCTCCCTCCCTCCTTCCTTCCCTCTCTACCCCCTCCCTTTCTCCCTCTTCCCTCCTTCCCTCCCCCTCTTCCCTCCCTTCCTTCACCATTTCACTTGCTCTTTTTTAGTTTTTGTTTTCAAGTATCTTCCTTCCTTCCTTCCTTCCTTCCTTCCTTCCTTCCTTCCTTCCTTCCTTCCTTCCTTCCTTCCTTCATATATTCGAGATAGGGTTTCCCTGTGTAGACCTGGCTGTCCTACCAGGCTGGACTCACAGAAATGTGCTTGCCTCTACCTCTGTTGGTATTAAAGGCATGTGCCATTGCACCTGGTTTCAAGCCTATTTCTTATATTAAAATTGTCTCCTATGTTATGTGCATTTTTTATTGTGCATTAAATATAGATCTGCTACTTCGTTCTTCACAGCACGTCCAGAGTACTTATTCATGTGCTTGATTGTTGAACTGCTGGGCAAAGCTTGCTTATAGTTTGAACTTACTTAGCCCTGGAACAAGCTTGACCAGTTTAAATTCCTGTCCTACAGGATTTATTCTGTCTCATAAACCTTGTACTGTTGGAAGGATTTCTAGCTTAGCAGGTAGAAATGAAGGCTCACTTAGTTACCTGGTCAGAAAGCTGAACTTTTTCTATTTTAGTTTAGGTCTCCCTAGGTAGCTTCCGAACTCTGTATAGCCTACCCTGGCCTGGAACTCTGTGTAATCCAGGATAGACTAGGGCTCTATGCAGCCCAGGCTAGCCTCAAACTCACAGAGATCTCCCTTCCCATCTCAGAGTGCCAAAGTCACAGTGCGAACCACCATGTGTGGCTCAGTTGAACATTTTTTATTAAACACCGTTTGCACTATTTTTGCTTGTAGTTGTCATTTACCTGTGTATTCAGTCACATGCCAGCATTTGTCAGGCTGAGCCAGGAGGATTGCTTTGAATTCAAGACTAGGCCAGAGTATATAGGGAGTACTATACCAGCTAGTGCTACATAGCAAGCCCCCTACCTTTCATCAAACAAAACCCAAACATTTTCCTTTAGTTTCTTATCATTTAGGAAGTATAAAAGTGTATGTTCATCTTGTTTTTAATCTGCTTGAAGAAAAAGACATTTTCCTGACTAGGTTTGAATTTGTGCTTTAGTATTTAATAGAGATAGATGTCTCTAGAGCCAATTGCTTTTCTCTCTATCAGCCTGTAGGGGTCTCTCTAACCCAGAGTTTTGAAACTCAAGAAACTGTGTGTGTGTGTGTGTGTGTGTGTGTGTGTGTGTGTGTGTGTGTTCCCAAATCTCTGTGCTGCAGGGGCAGTCCCGGCGAGTTCAAGTTGAAGTGAAGTCTGTGCAGGAGTCGGGGACTTTACCACTGATGGAAGAGTGCATATTGTCAGTTGGCATTGGCTGTGTGAAAGTTAGACCACTCAGGTCCTCTAAGATCCAAGAGACCTTCCATGTAAGTTTCAGTGCCTGCTCAATGCATTTTGAAAGACAACAGAGACATTGCTGCCCCTGATCCTTCTCTGCCTTTGGTGTCTCCTTCAGTGCATTTTCTTGACAAGAGGCCCTTGCACTAGGCTGTTACTACGTCTCTCATCTTGGTGCATGGTGAACTGAGAGTTAAAATCTCTCAGCCTGGCAAATCACCAGGCCTAACAGTGATTAACTTCCTCCCACAGGCCTACCCTTCTATAGAACCCCCCACTGGCTGCTAAAGACTCTTTGCCAGCAGGTGTTTGATTTCCTCTGGAGTAGTGGGGGGATTGTAAGCCCAGCGGGGAGAGCATTGTACTGACTCAGAAAAGGTCAGGGGAGCCTCTTCACTTTCCCCTAGAAGCGCCTAGTCTTACCAGCTTCCTGATGCTGAAGGGCTGGAGTGAGGCTGGGTGGGTGGCCACAGTGTAATGTATCAATTAAACAAGAAGACAGGAATTGGGAGAGTTTGTGGTTTTGGATGGGGGTCTGATTTGTGGGTAAATGATTGTTTTGGTTCTACATAATACACTGTTTTCTTTTAGGAGGAAGAGGAGGACATGGACAGCTACCAGGTAATTGAGCACCTGTTGGCCTCATCAAATCAGCTTGATTCAAGTACTTAATTACACAGGCCAGGATCTTTCTGCATTGCTACTTGATAATTAAACAATTCTGCTTTTCCCAAAAGTCAAACAAAGTAGGGAATGCTGGGTATTAGGAGGGAGGGGTTGCGCATGGGCTAGTAGTAGGAAGCCCCTATGACAAAGTCCTTTTCTAGTCAGGGACTTAGCATTGGGCTGTTTACACAGCCACCTTCCAGCTGCCTTGCCTGGGTTCCTTTTGAACTGAGTCACCCATGTGTGTATGTGTGTGTGTGTTTGCATGCCTATTTCCATGCCTTAGATGCATGAAGCCAGGTCACCCTGAATGCCCACTTTTTTGAGTTGTTCATTCATTTTAGGGGGCTTTGTTTCCCCCTGTCTTTTCTTTTCCTAACATGCCAGAGTTTGTTTATGTCTATGAAGTTGCATCTTGTTAGTCATCATTTAGGACTGCCTGGGCTCTTTGGAGCCTGATTATATCATCCGCTGTAGTCACTCTCCTGGCTTTGCATCATCCTAATTTGATAGAAACGTCTGCCTTCCTATAAGTCACTGATTAAAAATCTCACTGTATCAGCTGGGTTAAACTCAAGAGTGTGGTGCCACCATGGAGTCTTAAACAGACATTATCCCATTCATCACTGCTCTCTGTGATGCCACTTAGAGTAGACGCACTGCACATTTCTCCATCTTGTCCACAGGAATGTCACAGGCTATTTGGTTAGGTGCCCTGGTGAGATCCAGATGCTCGACATCTGCAACATTCCTCTGGACCACCAGCCCCTAACCATGTTACTAAAGGAGATGAGGTCAGGTTGGCGTGCTGGCAAGTGTTGACTGGTGTTGCTCAGTCTGTCAGTAACAACCCCTGTCCTGTCACCCACCACCACATGCTGTCATCTTCAATAGCTGTCCTCAGTAGTCTAGTGCAACACAGCAGAAGGCAGTGGCTAGAATCTTGAAGGATTCTTTCTTATAGTTCAGAGGAGTAGACGTTGGAGGCTTGTTAAGTACAGTTTTTGAGTCTTGTCCAGCAAGGCAACGTCATGGTTGGAGTTAAGAAAGTACAAAGTGAACTAATTCTTCAGCGCCTGTCCGCTCTAGAGTACGCTAATGCTTCCTGTTCCAGGAGTTCTGCTACACGGTGGGCTGGCATGCAGCTCAGTTGGCAGAGTGCTTGACTGGCATTCACTTTTCATGTCCCACTTATGCTGAGCATAGTGGCGGAAGCCTATGGCCCCAGCACTTTGAGGTGGGAACAGAGACTTGTGAAGTTCAAGGTCATCTTCAGTTACATAGTGAATGAGTTTCAGGCCAATCTGGATTTTATGGGACTTTGTCTTTAAAAAACAAAAGAAGAAAAAAGGCATGCTGCTTATCTTGGAGTTAAGAAAGTGAGGTTAATCTGAGGAGCGTCTGGTTTATACGTGTGGCCTGGATGTTCATTGAGTGTGGCTTCCCTTGTTTTCTTTCAGGATAGAGATTTAGAAAGGCTTCGTAGAAAATGGCTCAATGCATTAACCAAACGTCAAGAATACTTGGACCAACAACTGCAGAAGCTCGTCAGTAAACATGGTAGGAAGACAGGTTGGACATTTCCTTCCCCATGATAGTGCAGCCAGTGTGTCCTCACGTAACTAGGTGAGGGCCCCTTGAGTGTGGTGTGAGGGTGGATGTCTGTTCTTGGCTTGGGACATAGCCTTTCCAAAGAACATTGGTTTGGTTGTAATGATGTCTTCTTGTAGCTCCTTCTGGGGGCAGGGGCACAGACATACATGTAGGCAAAACACCCATACACATTAAAAAGTAACTGGGAGAAAGGTGCTGATGTTTCTTGTTGGAGGTACTGGGAGCTTGGAAGCTGAGCCAGACTGTTAGGCCCTGAACCACAGGTCTGTGATCTGTAAGAAGCCTCTGCAAGTTCCCATTGACCTAGGGAGATTTTCTTTACTCATAAACAATATGGAAATGGACTGGAGAAATGGCTTAGTGGCTAAGAGTACTTTACTGCTCTTGCAGAGGAGCTGGGTTCAGTCTCAGCTCCCATAGCAACATTGAAGTCATGGATCAGGGGGTCACACAGGTACTCTCTCTCCCCTCTTCTCCCTCTCTCCCTTTTTTTCCACCTTATCCTGCCCCTCCCTCCCTCTCTCTATTTTTCCTGCATTCGCATATACTCACACAGCCCCCCCCCCCAAAAAAAAAATAAACAAATCTGTAAAAAATGTGGGAACAGCAAGCAGGATTGTGAGACCTAACCCCAATTTCTCTTCTAGATAAAACTGAGGATGATGCTGACCGAGAGGCACAGCTCCTAGAGATGCGGCTGACACTCACAGAGGAAAGAAATGCAGTGATGGTGCCCTCTGCTGGCAGTGGCATTCCGGGGGCACCGGCAGAATGGTAAGGTCCCACAGTATGTCTTCTGAAGCCCCCAGGGGTGACCAGGCACCTCCCTTCCCACTTGCGTTTTTCCGTGCTACAGTTAATGAATGGATGGTTCATCATGGGAAAAGAGCTATTTGTATTGAAAGACTGTTAAATTATTTTCATGAGTTGGATATGACTATGGCCTGAAGCTGTTTTATTGAATAATATTGTTATTGGCCTAGGTAATTAGGATTTCTGAGAACTTAAATCAATATTTAGTACCACTGCACTTAGCGTTAAAAAATAGTTAATATGTTAATTACTTGGATCATTCATTCCCTTAAAGGAATGTTAGGTCATAGAAAACTGCATCTCAACCAGTTTTTGGCTTTGGTGCTTAAGCTGTGTTGTCAGCAAATGTTCTCTGACACTTGACAGAGATTAAAAATAGCAAGTTAAGCCACGAGGAGCCCTTAAGTATGTCATTTGGCAAGAAAGAAAGCTTTAAGCAGGCTGGTGGCAAACTGGTGAGTGAGTCTGTAAAAGTGAGCTCCTATGTCCTAACATAGGACGGTGGCTGCAGTCAGTCAGGAACTTCCTCACATCAACTTACAGCAAGATCAGTGCCCAGGCCATTGTCACAGGAGTGCATGTGTGAGACTGAAAGCCTGCTGCATGATGGGTACCGTAAGTAACCTGTCTTCACTTTTAGGACCCCAGTGCCTGGGATGGAGACCCACATTCCTGTTATATTCCTTGACTTAAATGGTAAGTTAGAGGTGGCTTCCAGAGGGTTACCTTGATGAAGCAGCGACAGGGTAACTTGATAGTCCTAGCCACTCGTGTTACAGGGTTGCAGTCACCCTGAAGTTAGGATCTGTGTGCCGTATTCTGATGTTGAACAGTCAATTAATCTCAATATCGCTCTTGCTGTGATGTACACTCCTCATTTCTCCCGTTTCTGTCCATCTCTTTTCATCCCTAGTACTGGGGATTGAACCTAGGTCCTCATACCTGCTAGACAAATGTGTTACCACTGAGCACAGCACAGCACAGCAGTGATGGCAGTGATCACCATGTCTCCTTGTTACAGTCCTGCCCCTGTCAGAGTGCTTTGCTTCCCTACCAATTTCGGAAGGTTTTCTACGCTGAAAATATGTTCAACTTCAGTGCTCAGAAGAAAACTTCTTTCTGGAAAGGACCAACAACCAGGGATACTATGTTTTCTTAGCATTATTTAGTGAATTTCTCAGCTATTCTGTGAGATCCTGTGAATTTAACCCTGCTTGCTTATTATTCTTTTTACATAACTGTTGTTTTCCCCCGCAACGCCTCCACACCCATTCCACCAGTCTCTGTCTATAGGAGGGAAAGTAGAAAATGCAAAGGTAGGTTAGGGAGCTAAAAATAAGAAGTCAGCAGTTAAGCTCCGTGAGACACCTGCAGAAGTGTATATTAGCACTAACTTCCCTAAATAGAAGAGCCTGGGCGTCCTCAGTGGTTCCCTTCCCTGAGTGGAAGTGTGTTAGGATCCCTGAGGGACCCAGCATCTGGTGGCCCTGAGCTCACACATGTGCGCAGGTTAGAGAGGCACAGGACACCTACACTGTCTTTCTGTCCATCCTAGAGGGTGAGAGTTGTTCTAGAGCTGTCACAGGACACTGGCTGTCTTAAACGCCAAAGCCTTGGGGGCTGAGGCAATCTGGCCTCCTCTTGTGCTGGGCTTTGTGGGCAGCTGAAGAGTGGGCCCTTAAGGGACTGGGAAAGAATGAAGTTCAGGAAGCTTTCTTAGCTGTGTGTTTGTTTTCTTCCACAGTTAAACTGTTTTTTTTTTTATTTTTTATTTTTTTAAAGCATACAAAGTAGTGGATTTTCATATGTACCTATATCATGACATTTTCATATGTACATATATTATGCTTTTGTCATATATACCCTCTCACAGTATTCTTGTCTTTACTGTACCTTCCATATGTCCCTTTTTTCAGCAAAGTCATTCTCCTGCTTTCATGTCACATAGATAGGTAGGCAGATGGATAGATAGATCTTGATTTGCATATGATAGAAAATTCAGTATTTATGTTCTTTCTCCCCTGTTACTATCTCTTTTCCCCCTCTGACTCCCTTTCTTTAGACAACTTCCTATACCCTATGTAGTTTTTTTTCCCCCTTTTACTTTCATACCCTATTATGGGGAAAAGATATATGTTTTGTGGTATTTGGCTTATTTCACTTAACATGATCTCTTATATGCCTCATTTTCTTGGAAATTACATAATGTCATTCTTCTTAATGGCTGAATGAAAGTTCATTGTGTAGCTATACCGCATTAGCCTGGGAATCTAAAGAAACAGTCAGAACTTGGTTCAGCAGTAAACATTAGTGGTCCACACAGTGCACTTACTTTCCTCTAGCCACAGCCTAAGGTGGTTGGGGCACTGGGAAACCAGGTTTGAGGCCAGGTGACCACAGGGCCCTGTGCAGTTGCCAGGTCCATTAGCCAGTCTGCACTTCTGTTAAGACTTAACTGTCAGGAATTGCTCTCTTCTTGTTTCCTAACTGTGCTAAAGGGTGAGGAGATTGGGTTATGATCCAATCATTACCGTTTATGAGCAGACCTGTCATAACCTCTTAGATCTTGGTTTCGTTTGCCTTCCATGTAAAATATGACACATGGGGCATACTGGGTAATTTCTTAAAGCACTTTCTGGCTCTTGGATCTGTGAACTATTAAATGGTTATTATCAGTGTCATGCAAGATTGCAGGGCAAAAAGCAAGTTAAGTTTGAAGCAGAAGAATTTTAATAATAAGCACATTGCTTCAGCCACTGGGGGTGGGAGGAGGGTTGTCCTTGAAAACGATCTGGTGTTGAGTGAAAACCCTGCTTTCAGCGGATGATTTCAGCTCTCAGGATAATCTCGATGACCCAGAAGCTGGATGGGATGCTACCCTGACTGGGGAAGAGGAGGAAGAGTTCTTTGAGCTGCAGATTGTGAAACAACAAGATGGAGAGGTAAGTCAGCATACCCCCTGGAGAAGGAGATAAGGAGCTTAGATGTTAGCAAGATATGGCCTCCGCAGTCTAAGCAAAAACTCTGTTAGTACTTAGAGTGAAGCTTGCTCCTCACACCCCTCCACCTACTTCTCCCTTCTCTTCTTGGGGAGAGACCCATGTCAGTGTGCACAGCATCCGCTGGCTGTGGCTGTGCTCTGTTCCAAACCTGGAGAGGGAGGGAGGGAGCTGTTGATTCCTTTGAAGTTCAGGGAGCTGTGGCTGGAAGAACACTGGCTTTTGTTTTTTTTTAGTTCCTTCATAAGAACTTTTTGATTATAGAGCCTCACTATGTAGCTCTGGCTGGCCTAGAACTGGCTAGGCCTCAAACTAACAGATCTACTGCCTCTGCCTTCCAAGTGCTGGGGAACACTATACCTGACCTAAGAGTTCTTTAAAGAGGAGAAAAAGAAAGCCAGGCCTGTAATGCTGACATTTGGGAGACTGAGGCATGATGATTGTGAGTTCAAAGCCGGCATGAGCTACATAGTGAGGCCCTGTCTCAGGATAGAAAAAAAAAAAAAGCAAAAGAATAAATGAAGGCAGTGAAGCAGAACCATGATCTCATGGTTGAATCTGTTTGATGGGCATTATTCTGGGGCTTTCCCCCTAAATCTGAGTATGCTTGACAAATGATACCAACAGTATAGTATCTGAGAAACTCAGAGGTGACCTGAGATACTCACTTTTGGACGTTAGCCCTGTTTTCCCCCTCCCCCACACTGTGCCTTTCCTTAGTCCTGAACCTGTTTGTGTCAGATGTGACATGACAGGCTTGGGCTCACTCCATGTTAAAGTAGACTCTGGGGCTATGACAGCTACTGCAGTTTGTAATCATCAGCTGAGAACATGGACACATCCAAATAGGATAGCATCCTGTCGGCTTCCTGGAAGTGACACTTCCCTACAGCTTACTAGAAAGTGATTGGGCTTCAGGCTACAGCAGGCAAATGGTCTCAGTGGGTGATCAGGGAATAGTACACAAAGCCCACAGAATGGAAGGTTTTCAAGCTTTCTTGATGTTTAAAACATTTTTAAAAACAAGCAGGCTAATAAAGTACTGTCTTAGTTACTGTTTTGTTGCTGTGAAGAGGCACCATGCTCAAGGCAATTTATAAAAGAAAAGTTTAACTGAGAGCATGCTTACAGTTTTGAAGGGTTAGGCCGTGGTCATCATGGTGGGGGATGTGGCGGTAGGCATGGCTAACATCCTGATTCACAATGGGGTGGGGAAGAGGGGAGAGGGAGAAAGGAAGGAGAGAGAACAGAGCAGAGACTGGGCCTCCTGTAGGCTTTTGAAGGAAACCTCAAAGCCCACCTTTAGTGACACACCTTCAATAAGGCCATACCTCCTAATCCTTCTTAAGCAGTTCACCAACTGGGAACCAAACATTCAAATATATGAGCCTATAGGGGTCATTCCAGTATATGAGCATATAGGTACCACCACAGGTACCATACCCAATACTTTGCAGCCTCACATGGCAACAGCCACATGGTCACATCCTGACAACACTTCGGGGCAGTTTTTGAAAGGGAACCTTCACCGAAGCTACATGGCATTCTCAAGAGGGTCTGTGTGGCCTTGGAGAGGACAGTTAAGTGCTGTCTTTGCTTCCTCTGCAGGCAAAGGCAGAGGCCTCCTGGGACTCTGCAGTGCACAGCTGTCCCCAGCTCAGTAAAGGTACTCCTGCTGATGAGCGAGTATTCCTTATCCTGCGAGTGACTGTCCAGCTCAGCCATCCTGCTGACATGCAGCTGGTCCTGCGCAAAAGGATTTGTGTCCATGTTCATGGGCGCCAGGTGAGGCTTCAGTTATAGTGGGAAGAGAGGAGTGACCAAAGGCTAACGGTGCCACTGACTCTAGAAACTTCTTTCCAGACATGGTCACAGCCTACCCTTCCCAGGTACCGGTCACTGTCCTTCACCATAATGTCATTCTGTAAACATACACGGCCATGTGCGTGTGTGCGCGCACACACTGTATTCTCATAGTGTGGAGTCATAGAGGAGACACACACACACACACACACACACACACACACACACACACACACGGTGGAGTCACAAAGGAGCCCTGCCATTGAGAAGTTCAGTGGCTTTTGTTGTTGTGCTATCTTCTGGATCACTTGAGGAGGTTCCCCAGTGGTCAGTTTTTCATTTTAATGTTAGCCTGCGAGAGCTAACAACACTCTCTTTCTAGAAGCCTTTGATTCTCAGTTTGACTTTGGTTGTTGTAAAACATTGAATAGGAAACAGTCTGGGTCTTTATGTTTTTATTTATTAATTTTTTTAGTAAACTGTCTTTATTTTATTTTGTTTTTTTCTTCCTGAAACAAGGTTTCTCTATATAGCCCTGGCTGTCCTGGAATTCACTCTTTAGACCAGGTTGGCCTGAAACTCAGGGATCCTCCTGCCTCCCTAGTGCTATGATTAAAGGTATAGTCCACCACTGCAGATTCAGTCTGGGTCTTTAAAGAGCCAAAGTCTGCTTGCGTTCCAAAGTACCTTTTTTATTATGTAGGGTGCTGGGTGCTGGGTGGGATAGCATCCTGCCAACAGCTTCGAGGAGGAGCTTTGGAAGAGAGGGTGTCTTTGAGCTGGCATTTTAGAGCATGCTGGATAGGCAGGGGAGCAGGTGACTGTTCCCTCCCGAAGAGAGAGGACCCCTGACACATGGAGGAGTTTTCTGGAAATGCTGTAGGTTAAGAGTTTAAACATTGTGCTATTGGGTTGTAAATGTGAGGATTTGGAAGGTAGACTCTGGACTCCTCGCTCACTCTTGTTACTTTCCCTTTTGTGGGATATTTTGAACACACAGGCACAGATGGAAATAAGTCTTCTCATTTGAAAGAACACAGTCATGGTTGACAGACTCCACCCCTAAAAATTAATCTTTAGTTCTAAATGTCATGCTGATACCAATCTCTGAAATGAAGACTGGCGTAATGCTGTTAAAATCACAGCTCCGTAGCTCTCCAGTCCAATATCAATAAAATCCAGGTCAGGGGTTAGCTGTAGAGTATTTGTGTATCTCCTTCTCACTCCTATGTTCCTTTTCTGGGGAGTCTGAAGGGGTGGAGAAAGGCCTGCTGCTCTGGGGAGCTTCATGAAGAGTGAGTTTCTGGCCACCTGATCTGCAGCATTCCTAACAGAGGTTACAGTGTGGAAGAACCATGTCTCTTCTGTCTTTATTTTTGGGTAGGAGAAAGGTGTTATTCCATTTCTTTCTTGTTGACGTGATTTGGTGGAAGTATTTTAAGCCATGCCACGTCCCTCAGTCTCAGATACGTCATTCTTTTAAATTGCTTCTTCATATAGAACATGACAAACACATGGCAGGGCAGTATTATTAGTTTATGCAGATAGTAAACAGGTGACACCATCTCTACCACCCATGAGAAGACGTGGCTGTGCCCGAACCTTGTGCCTGGCTCTGTTTGAGCACTACAAGTCATGGCTGAGGCCCTGAAGGGATGAAGGAAATGAATGGCCGCTTTGCATTCTGAGAAGCTTTGTCTTGGAGGGGCTTGTGGCTTGTGTTGGGGGGAGGGTGAAAGGTCAACCTCAGGTATCATCCATAGGTGCTCTGAGAGGCTCTCTCTCTCTTAAATATATAATTTATTTATTATGTGCATTGGTATTTTGCCTGTATGTCTGTGTGAGGGCGTTGGATCACCTGGAATGAGTTACAGACAGTTGTGATCTACCATGTGGTTGCTGGGAATTGAACCCAGGTCTCTGAAAGAGTAGGCAGTGCTGTTAACTGCTGAGCCATCTCTAGTCCCTCTGAGAGGCTCTTTTAAAAATTAATGATCACCAAATGGGAAATAAATCATTATGAGATAGGATTGTAAATTACGTGGTTTTAATACCAACTGGTCTTCTTCTTTGGGTTTTTTCATGTTTCTGCCTCACCTTTTGCCTCATGCCTATTCCCTATTCTCTCTCCTTATCTATATTCAATTGTATTCCACCCTCATGGCTGCTCTCTTCAACCTCTACAGAATGTTCAATTTTGCAGCATCTCCAAATGAGTCATCTATGCATTAATTCAACAGTTCAATTCCTAGCTGTGCAAAGAGCACAGTCAGCATAAACAATGACCAGGCACTCTTAAATCATCCTTCATAACGATCCTGCTTTGGTCAAGAATTTAATGCCTGAACTTGTCAATATTCATGGTACAAGATGTCTGTCATGCAGAGGAGGAAAGTGTAAGAGTCACCAGTCCTTGCTTCTATCTTACTTAGAAGGTCATTTTGTTGTATCTTCTGAGTTGATCCAGATGCCTGGTGGCAGCCTCCGGATCCTAGGTCTCACTTTTCTCTAGTCAAGTGCAGGACCTGAGAGGCCCATTGTAGGTACCAGTCCATTGGTTCTGTGCTTAGGTGAAGGAACTGTGTTTGATGCTAGGGATCTCACATGCTTGTGTCAGATGCTACTCTTATATTGGCTCTGAGTGAGCAGCACCCTTTGTGCCTCTTTGTTACAGTAAGGGAGGGAGCTAGCAAGGGAGGAAATAATGGTCTGTATTTTATTCTTCTCTAGGGCTTTGCTCAAAGTCTTCTTAAAAAGATGTCTCACCGGAGCTCTATTCCTGGCTGTGGAGTGACCTTTGAAATTGTCTCCAATATTCCAGAGGTAAAGTATTCTACAAAGTTTGAACTGTAAATAAAGCACTTAAAGACTTAACTCCTCAAAACGTCACCCACCCAAGAAATACCATAATCAATAAAGCGGGCCGGTGAGATGGGTCAGCCAGCAGAGGCGCTTGCTGCCAACCTTGTTACCTGAGTTTGTTCCATCCCGGAATCTACATGGTTGAAGCAAAGAACAAACTCCTTCAAGTTGTCCTTAGAGCTTCACGCAGTCTTACGGCACTTGAACCACTCCCTACATAAATAAATGTAAATTTCTATTCAGAGAAATGGATAGATTTTTTGATGAGTCCTCTACACTAAATTTTTAGTACAATGTATTTATGGCCTTAAAAGTTAGATTTTAGTATTTTGTTTAAAGAGCTCTCTTGTTATTTGTTTTATTGAGTAAATGTATAAGAGAAGGTAAATGAGAGAGGTGAAGAGAGGGAGAAGTACCATGGGTATGCCACAGAGGGCAACTTTTGGGAGTTGGTTCTTTCTGCTATGTTTAGAGACCGAGTCTTCCTCTATCACTGGTCACTGAGCTTCCAGCCGGTTCTCCTGTCTGCTCCCATCTTCCTTATAAGTCCTGGACTCACAGATGTGTATCTCTGCATCCAACTTCCTACGAGGCTATCAGGGATCAAAGTCAGGTTGCCAGGCTTGGGCTGCAGGTTCTGCTACCCACTGAGCCATCTCTCTAGCCAAGAGTTCCATTTTGAAAAGCAACTCAGTGGGTTCTTATTTGAAACACAGCAGACAGTAGCAATATGGTGTTAGTCACACAGAGCAGGAAAAATTCACCATAGAGATTTATGTCTGATGTGGAATCAGACAGAAGTCCAGTCTCTGCCCCTTGCTAGCAAAATGAATCAGAGAATTCTGTTTTCTGGGGAGAGCAGACAGAGGGACTGGAGACCTGGGGCTCCACACAGACTTTTGCACTGCCTCCTGATCTTCATTCCAGGTCTTAGAGTTTGTGGATTGATTCTGCTGGGCATTTGGGTAATAGGTACTCCATACCTGCTGGGGTTTTGTTTTGCTTGTTTGTTGGTTTTTGTCATAGTTTTGGTTTTTTGAGACATGGTTTCTCTGTGGAGCCTTGGCTGTCCTGGAACTCGTTCTGTGGACCAAGTTGGCCTTGAACTCATAGAAATCCACTTGCTTCTGCCTCCCAAGTACTAGGATTAAAGGTTTGTGCCACCACTGCCTGGCTGATACTTGCTTTAACATAGTCTGAAAGGAAGCAAATGGTTGATGACACCTAGGCTTTGTTTTAGATTTCTTACTAATCCAGGGAGCCCACTATAGATGACCTCTGAGACACACTTTATGGCCAATTTAAAGTCTTTATTCCATCTGGCTAGGACCACATATAGGTACTACGGAACCTAGGTATGACCTTGGCTGTCCAGAGCATAGGGTTTTTGAAGGCAAAAACTATGTCCTGGCATCTTGCTTTTCAGCTACAGGGGGATTTGCAGAAACAAGCAGTTTAACAAAAGCAAAGATACAGGTGGTTAACACAGACAGGCTAAGATAGGTTAGCTAGGACATCCTGACCTTGGGTTAGTACAATAAAATTAGATAATGTTCCATGAGATTCTTCATCAAGGAGATCAAATTTTAGTTAAACTTGAAATGGCCTCAGCAAGAACACAAAGTGGAGGAACCTTTGTGGAGGCTGGCATAGGAGGATCACAAGTGTGAGCCTAATCTGGGCTACTTAGTGAGATTCTATCATAGACAACAAGATTCCTGTACCCCCCAAAGCCAAGGGTTCAGTCTAACTGTGATGGTGCCCTGTACACAGCCTATGCAGGGTCCTGCATTCATTCTCCAGCAGTCATCAGCCAACCAATCAACAAGGAAGCTGTTTTGCAGCAGTGACTAATTATGAGATCTTGGACTTAGGAAAGATTACTCTGTACTTCATCCATTGTTCTAAGAGTTAAAAGGGAAGGACTGGAGGGAATCAGCTTAAGACTAAGCACCCTTGTGTGACTGGATGGTTGGTAATTAGCTAGGCTTCCAGAGTCAGCCTTGTTTTTTCGTCTCCTCCTGACCGGCAAGTTTCCCATTTCTGAGCATGGGCAGTTGAGTCAGTAGAAGAGAGTGGGGATTCACTTTGTTCTCTGGAGCCTTTGGCCACTGCTGCTGCCCAGGGAGGCAAGTGTGAGAAGTTCAGCAATCTGAGTGTGTGTGTCAGGCTGCTTGACAGCAGCTAGGGCCTTGCCTCGCCTCCTTCCATTCCCTTCTCTACACTGCATCAGCATCCCACTTGGGCACCAGGGTTCTTAGGGCTCCCTTTGTCTAGTGGGATGGCTCAGCTCCTGTGAGGCTCAGGGGTGGTACCTTCTTACAGAACTGCTGTCATGGTGGTTTCCAGATCACCTACAGAATCCTTTCCAGTTGGTAATTGGTAGTGAATGTTTGTGAAGTGGGAATAACTCTGCTTGGAACATTTATGAAAGCTGCTGTTTAACCAGTCTTCCATGTTAACCTGGTAGCCATCCATGATAGATCTTGATTTCTGGGAAAAAGTGCATTTTGAGTTCTAAATGCTGATGTTAAAATGGAACTTTAGATTCTGTTGAATTTGTCATTTCATAGCTCTGTGTATGTGTGACTGTGCATGTATCATTGTGTGTGAGCATGCACATTTTTGAGCATGCGTGTGTGTGTGTGTGTGTGTGTGTGTGTGTGTGTGTGAAGATCTATAATGATGTCTTCAATGTAGTTTTAATGTGCATCCTTTAGGTTTTTAGGATGAATGTATGTGTGTGCTTGTGAAGCATGTGTAACACTTTCCTTTTCTGGCTATATTTACCATGTATCATTCTGTTCTTCAGGATGCCCAGGGAGCGGAGGAGCGAGAGGCTCTGGCAAGGATGGCAGCTAACGTGGAAAACCCGGCGTCTGCTGACTCTGAGGCATATATTGAGAAGTACTTGAGGAGTGTGCTCGCTGTGGAAAACCTCCTGACTTTAGATCGCCTCCGTCAGGTTAGTGATGTCAACACTGCTATGGTGGAGCCCCATCTGGTCCCTGTACTTGACTTTCTAGAGTTTAGGTGCTATTGCACCTGAAGTTTAAAGGGTTTTTACTCTTACAAAATCCAGTGACTGCCATGGGGTCGTTCTGTCTTGTCATGTCATGGCTGGTATTTAAAGAATGTGGAGGAGGGCTGGCAGATGACTCAGTGGTTGAGGGCACTGTCTGCTCTTCCAGAGGTTCTGAGTTCAGAACCTGCAATTACATGTTGGCTCACAGGCATCTATCCTGATCTGATGCCCTCTTCTGGCATGGAGTGACCTACAGATAGAGCACTCATCTACGTAAAATACATAAATAAAGAATGTGGAAAGCCTTGAACTGAGTGTGTTGGAGTGCATCTATCATGTATACCTCTCCTTGGTGTATATTCAATCCCTAGGAAGTGGCCGTGAAGGAGCAGCTGACAGGAAAAGGGAAGCTGAACCGGAGGAGTATCAGCTCTCCCAGCATGAACAGAGTAAGTCCCTCTTGCTGCTGCTATAGAACAGGTGCCTGCCACTTCCTTTCTGACCTCTTGTTTGGATGCCTCTCTGCCTCCTTGCAAGGGTCTCAGCTGTCTGTAACTTCCCTGTGCCGGTCTAAGTGTCCCGTCCCTTCCCTTGTCACATCTGTGTCCCCTCTAGCACTATGCCTGCTGCTTGGAGCCAGGATGCTTGCTTGAGTGTCATGGGCGCACATTGCTCATTTGTCCTTTGCTGCTTGCCCCGCACACATTGGGAGGACAGAAATGTGTGTGGAGCTTAATCTAAGCTAGTGGTCTGCCTAGGGCAAGGAAGTCATTTTCTGGGGCTTAATTAATTCTTTTTAAATTAGTAGGTTTGGAGTATGTTTGCAGATCTGTCGCTTGAAGGCCATGTAGGGTAGTGTGAATGAGTAAAACAGGCCATATGTGCTTTAAAACTATGCTGAGATTTGTTGATTAAAAATAGGTATAATTTATATGCATATTGAACATGGAGATAATTATTGACAAAGAAATGTGCCAATGGCCCTTGATCTGCTCCTCATGTCTGCGAAGATGTGGATATGAAAGAGTAGGTGCACTTTTGTCTTTGGCCACTCAGCTTGTAGGGAAGAGCAGCTGCCGCAAACCTGTAAGTGTTTTCAAGTGACAGGAAGGGCAAGTTTTCCACTGGAGAGCCTGTGGGCACAGAGGTGTGGGAGACCTGTCTGACCACCACAGACCTGAAGTACAGGGCTACCCTCAGGCATGTAGAAATGCCTCTGTAGTTCAAGTTCCTTCAGAAAGTTATTAACATACACTGGCAAATGCATAGCTTTGGTATTTGGGATACTATAATCTAAATAGTTTGTTTCTTAGACAAAAGGCTCAGGCCATGGCAGGATCCAGGGGCATTAAATAGAAAGGGTGAAATGACTTCTGTTCGTCCCAGTAAGGGCCAATGGTTTTTACACCCTGGAGACACTGGTCTGCAGTATTGGTCTTCATGGTGGCTTCCCTCTCTTCCATCTTGGTTTGTTTGTTTATTTGTTTGTTTGAGATTATGTCGCAATGTATCTTTCTGAACTGGAGCAGGGCTGGCCTCAGACTCACTGTAATCTCCTGCCTATGCCTCCCAAATGCTGGGATTACAGGCACAGGCACATGCTCTCAGGCCCAGCTTGATTTGATTTTCAAAGTCGGACCTTTTTAGGTGCTTTCATGCTTTTACACTAATCCTCCTTTATTTCTTCTCAGTTGTCTGGAAGCCGACAGGAACTTAGCCCTTCTCACAGTCTAGGCAGCAACAAGGTGAGTTCCACTAACACCATCTTATTATTAGAATTAAAAAGTTTATTTTTGCTAAAATTCATCTTTTTAGCTCACAATATTTCTTTTGTTTTTGAGAAGAAACTTCAGATTATATTTATAATAGTAAAGCTATGATATGATTGAAAACTTAGAAGGAATAAGAAACATATTTCTAATTGTTATTGTTTTTTAGAAAAAAGAATGGTGTAAATCCCAGTAACAGCTTTGTGCAAATAGACACTCACTATTGTTTGTTTAAAAAGGTCAGCACTCCTTGCAGCTGCCTGATCTGGGTGTTACCCCTCACAGTGTGTTCTTGTCACTCCGAGGTGCCTGGCTAAGTGTCAGCACAGAACCAACACATCCTGTGCTGACAGGACAGCCCTAGAGTAGGTTGGGAGTTTGCATTGTCGTAGTGGCAGTGTGATGTGAGGGAGTTACCTCAGAATGATTCAGGAGTGTGTGGGCAAATACAGACTGGCTGATTGACAATAATTGTTAAGGCCAAGTGGTGTTCATAAGACTATTTCTATTCTTGTTAATTATTCTGTACTTGTATTGGACATTTTGTTTATGAAAACATAAACAGTGAAGATGAAATTAATGATGAAGGCTCATGTTAAAGATCTAGATTGCTGTTACCATGCCTGAAAACATAACCACACCCACACATGAAACCACACAAGTGCATGTGTACACATAGATGCATGGCTGGGGTCAGCTAGACCAGTCAGCTAGACTGGCTAGCCCAAGCCAGTCAGATACGAACACTGACACACACACACACACACGCGTGCACGCACACACACACACACACACACACACACACACACACACACACTCTTACTATCTCTCTCTCACACACATACACTCTCTCTCTTTCTATCTCTCAGACACACACATACATTCTCCCTATCTCTCAGACACACACACACTCTCTCTATATCTCTCAGACACACACACACAGACACACACACACACACACACACACACACACACACTCTTTTTCTCAGACATACTCTTTCAGACACACACACAAAGCAGGGAACGCTCACTTAGTGGGTGATTTACATGGGCTTGGACACATACTGTGGTGTAGTGGACTGATATAGTCCAATGGAAGGAAACAGGTTTTGGGTGTGATGATTTTTAAGTGTGGCTATAGGAACTATTAAGGTAAATAATATATAATAGGAAAAAAATTAAAACTCCAACTTTTTGTGTTTTGGGGGAGGCACATTTTACCCAAATCCTCAGTTACAGGTTCTTGTAAGAAGTGGTGGAGATTTCTGCTTTTCTGTTCTTTCATACTTTTCTTATCTTAAAATGGATACCATAACAGCCAGCAGTAGCATCTGCCTCAGAGCAGGGCCATGCTTCGTCTGCAGCAGTGGAGAGGGTGAAGGGGCAGCGGCTGCACTCCAGGCTGAGGCAGGCAGAGGAAGCCACACAGAAGGGATGTGCACCTGCTCTCCCTGCATCCTGCAAGGCTTGCGGGGACATGGGAACCCAAGGGTAATCTCATAGTGCACACAGGCAGGGAAAGAGCTGCAGTTGGCATTTTGGGCAGAAACTCCTGCATGACCACAGGCACAGGGTGGACAGTCTTGTCCACAGCAGAGTGGGGTGGATCCCAGGGAGGAGGGGCCTTTTTGGAAATCCTGAGTCGCTGAATGCTGAGGAGCAGTGGTGATATATGTCTCTCTCTGTGTGTATGTGTGTGTATTCGTGTCTCTGTGTGTGTCTTTGTCTATGTGTGTATCTGTGTGTGTGTGTGAGAGAGAGAGAGAAAGAGATACAGAGAAAGAAAGAGAGAGTCAGTGTCAGTCTTGGGCTGTACCCTAACTGAGGGGTCTAGCTGAGCACCAGCCATCCTGTTGCAGGCTGTGGTGTGTACAGTACTAGAGGACTGTATACAGCCATGAGTGCAAAAGGGGAAAGCTTATTTGGATTGGAAGGACTATGGAAGGGAAAAGGGGTGTTCTTGGGGAGGAATAGGAAGAATCAGTTACACCAAGGAGATGAATTCTGGGATCCTGTGAACAGAAAGAAATGGCAGGGGAAGGAGAGGACTAGGTTCCCTTTAGGCTTTGTGACAGAGTAGGATTACTGAGAAGCAAGCTGTGGAAGTGTGTATATATGTGTGTGTGCAGAGAGGAGGCAGCTAGATATCAGGCCCCTCCAGACTTATTTGAGATAGCATGTAGGATGAGGACCAATAGGGTTGTTTTGGATGGTACTGGGTGACTGCACCATTCTTGGCCATTTCTGCTGCGCATTGGGAGAGATGAGACCGAGCCTCTCAGTCTGTGTATGCTGTATTGTTTGAGCTGAAGAACCAGTACATGTTTTTGTTACTGTCCTAGTAGCTTCCCTTTTTTGTTGTGGATTTCTTGGGGCTCCTGAATAACTTGGAGAAAATGGTGCTCTTGTTTCCACTTGCTCAGAGTTGGCTTGTGATGGTTCTTTCTTGGTGATTTGGTCTCCCTAATCTTTTCTATAGACCACAGAGAGGTGTAGCCATTGCCTGAGGCTTGGAACACTTTACAGTCCTCATACTTCGTCTGTGTCTGTGTCTGTCTCTCTTTCTCATCTCTCTGTCTTTCTCTGTCTCATCTGTCAGTGCTGTGGCATCAGGATTTCCATGGCTGTCACTTCCACCATAGAGACACCTTTGCATCCTCTTGTGAATCTGGCTGTAATCAGCCTATGAGTACCTCTTCAGGCTGTTGCCCCCGACCCAGGAGAACTGTTCTGTCACAGATGCCTGTGGGTAGGACAGGCGGATGTCAGCAAACAAGACTATTACAGGCCACGTGAATGGGGGTGGGGTAGTCACAGAATAGCTCTGCATTTTTCTGTGGTGGGCCTTACAGTAGTATGGTCTAAAGCAGAGGCACTGTAAAGATTATTAGCTCAGGAATGTTTGCATTGTATCTTCTCCCCAGTGAGAAAAGAACCATATTTCCCCCAGAATCAAGGAATATGATTTACCCTGTAGCTCATTAAGGACATTGTATCATTGCATATAAATAAAACGGATTGTGAACATTTATAGGACAGTTCCTTATGATTGATGGACAGTGTTTAAACTAATAGACAAAAGGTCAAAGGACCTGTCAAACTTAACCACAGCCGTGTTTACACACAGTGTGTAACAGGGTGAGCACAGCAACATCCTTACAGTGTCAGAGGAAACATCATACTTGTGGTATGGTAAAGTATTACACACACGAACATGCATACACACAGGCACTTGGGCAGAAGTGCTCCATCTTGATTTCTCTTCAAGGAAGTATTAATGTCCAGGGAGTTGAGTCAGCCCAGACTTGGTGATGCCAAAAATGCTAGGAAATGCATTTTGAAATCATCAAAAATTATACTGTTAGTTTTGTGTATCTTGCAGGTATTCATGGGGTCAATTCTAGTTTTTTCTTAATTCATTTGCTACTCTCAGCTCCATGCTTCAGATCAACACCGTAGGTTAGAATGTGAACTGTGGAAGCCCAGACATTACAGGCTAGGCAGATCACTATGGTTTGTCAGAGAAGAGAGTCCGATCCAGCTCCAGTCTCCCTTCCCCTGTTGTGTTTTCTTATCACCAGAGTAGATATCATCCTTGGGAGCAAGAGTGAAAGAGGCTGGCAGGACAGGCATAGAGGGGGCTGGGAGAACTTGTTGAGGTCCTAAAGAATTCAGTTAGCTGAGTAGCATCAGTGTGTGTGTGTATGCGTGTGCTCGCGCATGCACACACGCATGCTTGTGCCTGTGCCTTATTTGCTGAATATTTCTTATTTACTGAAGCTCTTCACATGTTAAAATCAAATTGTTTCCCTAAAATTGAGTTGATAAAGAAATTAATTAAAGAGCTTGATTATTCCCATCACTTTAGCACCTAAAGGAAATAACTCTTGGGATAAGCCTTCCAATTAAAAATCTAAGATGTGACCATGTTGAAGTGGTGTTTTGGCTTACAGTTATGGGATGCTTTGCCCCTGTTCTAAGGAGATTTTTAATAGACGCAATGAAAATAGTTTCTCTATGACTGTCTACTAGTAGGTATCTCGATGCAGAATTAATTTCAGCTTGTTGCTGGCCTTGGCACTGCAAAGCTGGCAGTGCATTGAGACCTTCTGTAGTGCAAGGACAGCTGTCAATATGTCTGTTGTCATTCCTAAAGCCATTTTAGAGGAGATGGCATTTGTATTATGTTAGTAAGGCAGTGTGGTTGTTGTCCTCTGAAGTTTTGTTGTTGTATGGTGCTTTTTGAGGACCTCATGGATGCCAGGGAAGTGCTTTGCCACTGAGCTGTATTCTCAGCCCTCCGCAGAGGTTCTTGATGAAGTTCAAGTCAGCTGCTACCTTGAGCAGGCTGGAGTTAACAAAGCTTCCTGGAACTGCCATCAGCTCAGCTTTGGTTCAAGAGATGCCAAGCATGAGTCACCCTTCAGCTGCATTAGAGCTGCCTGTGGGCTGGAAATTACAGGGGCACATCTTTTTATTTGCTTCTTTGTCACTTTCCTGATCAAAGTCAGATTCTTTTACAGAGAGCCAAAAAATTATATTTGGTGGAAAAGTAGGGGCAGACAGGAAGACCACAGGTGGGCATGGAGCCTGCAAGGACCTCCTAGACTCCTGCTGGGTTGCCTGTGCCTCTGAGCCGGGGGCCACTCCTAACATGTTGAGGAGTTTTGTTTTGTTTTTTTTAGAGTTCTGCTTCTTAGAGTCTGTGTGGGGTCATTTTTTTCAGTATCTTCGTTACTGATTTAGGAAAGGACTACTCAGTTGTGGGAGGTTCCAGTTGTGCCAGGTGTGTATGACTATGGCAGAAGCAGGGAGGTGCCATGAAGTAAGCCTTTTCTCCTTTTAGGTTTGAGCAGTTTGTAAGAGCCCAGAAAATTCCAGAGTAAAAATTTCAAAGTCCCCTTTACCTAAGTCTCCCTCTGAAGTACATTTAACTTGTGGCTGCTTTTGTGTTTTTGTTTTTTGTTTTTTTCTCCCAAAGCATTTCAGTAAAAGGAGAAATTAGCATAGCCAGGCAGGTCAGGTTTATTGCAAAGTCAGCACTTGTCCTGTCCCTGGGTGAGGTAGGAGTGGGGGGTGACATGGGTCACACTCCCCTGGATGTTCCATTCGTCTCTGTGAGCTGTGTGTGAGGAGAGCACATGGTGGGGTTTCTGTGCAGCCCTGGTGCTAACAGAGAAGTGGGACCACCCTCTTCCTCCTTAGGTCTATCCCTTAGAAGCAGAGCCAGATAGGCTCAGGTTCTAGGACTCTGACTCTGGACAGTGAGGCTGGGAACAAGTGATTGTGAGGCTCCGTGTGTGCACTGACTCCAGGGACCTGTGTTGGGGTACCATGGTCCTTTTATTGTCATTAGTTCACAGGCCTGCAATGTGCTTAGTCTGTGTCTGAGTGTTGTCTGGACCTGTCATTTATTTATACTCAGAGTCTTGGGCTGTGAAGCAGGAAGAGACACTGCTGCTCTTCAGCCTTGATGGTGACATTGTACACCAGGTACCAGGGGAGCCTGAGTGTGCCTCAGGGAAAGGCCAGCTCCTTCAGTTGTTATAGGACAACTCTGTCAGAGCCTGGATGTTAACTGCAGATCAGCCACTCAGTTTCCTAAGGGACACAGTGTGGCTGTGTCAGCTGCCAGAGAAGAGAGCCTAAGATATTAGAATAAATTAACTCAGAAATGAAGTAAGTTATCTTCAGAATAACCTTGTATGAACTTGACACCATGAACAGAGTTCTTGATGTCTCTTCTGCTGAGCCTCTCTGAAGCTACTGACCTAGCGTTCAGATACCTGACCATGACACCCCAGGGCATCTAAGGTGGGCAGCCTCCTAAGAAGGGTAATTAAGTTTGAATGCAAAAAAAAATTAACAAAAAGATTAAAATCTGTGCGTAAGCATGTTATTGGTAGGAATGTAAATGTGCAGCGAGGGCTGTTTTCCTTATTGGCCTATCATGTGCCTGGAGTCTGTTTTGTTTTCTGTTTCTAATGAATGCAAAGAGAGAACATTTTTTTTTTTTAATGCCATCAAGTGCTGAGCGAGTTCTCAGTGGTGAACACGATCCAGATCACTTATGGCTTATTGATTTTATGATCAGTCTGTAGGTTGCTGCTAAAAGCAGATAGATTCTTAAACCATGTAACAACCTGTAGGGCTGTCTACCTCAGTCCCTTTTGAGCCTCAGGACTCACCATTTCCACTCTGCTTCTCAGTAGTCCTCAGGACATCCAAGTTAACCCTGGGTCAGTTGTCTGCAGAATGCTCAGTTAAACCGATATTAAAACTGTTACTTAACCTCAGTGAAAAAGACCAGAGTTACCATAGGATGAAAGGGAACTTAAGATTGCTTACAACTTGGAGCTCAGGACTGTGCTGCTGAGAGGCTACCTCCCAGAACTGGGCGGAGGAGGCCCCATCCTATTCTTGGGCTTCTTTTGAGACATGGGAGTGAGGATGTCATCATCGTCAGCCACAGGAGCTGGGGCAGAATTTAAGGGGCACTCATTTCTAAAGGAGCAGTGATAGCTTGTCCACCTGTGTTGAGGAGGTAGCAGAATGCAGTAGACTCTGGGGTGGGCTTGTTGGGAGCCACAGGTTGTAAAGGAGAAGCATGAGGAAGGGTGATACAGTCACACTTCCATCCTAGAGAAAAAAGCTTTGGTAATGCTAGTAAGTTTTCTTCTGGAATATTGTATAACATTTTTGTGAACTTATTAATTTGAAATAAAATGGCATATTTTTCTTCTTGTCCTTAACAGGGTCGGTGGGAAAGTCAACAGGATGTATCCCAAACACTAGTTTCCAGAGGAATAGCTCCAGGTCCTCCAGCAATCTCTGTTTCTCCCCAAAGTAACCAGTCTCCTGATCCTGGTAAGTTTTTTTCATCTGCCAATCACCGTCATGAAATTTTCGCATCTTTCAGGAACAGGTTAAATCAGGATGTTCTGCTAGATCCACAGGCTACTTCATGTCCATCAGAGTGTTGTTATCTTTGTCTTAGCATGTTGGGTGGCATCAGTTTGGAAGGGTGACTTAACCCTGAATTGCTCTGATAATTCACCCTGTGACTCTCTTGTCATGTTAATGCTCAGCCAGCTTGTTGACTCATAGGGACTGTACATATGTGGTCCACGGTGACCTCAGCTTATACTTCCTCAGACCTGTTAGGTTTTGGTATCAAGACTGTGTTGGCCTCACATAATGCCTTGGGAAGAAGCTTTCCTCATCTTTTCTGGGTTTCTGTGTGATTGGTAGTGCCAGCTCCTTAAATGTTTGACAGCGTTACCCAGAGAAGCTGTCTGATCCTGGCACTTTCTTTGTGTAGCAGGCTTTGCATTATGATGGGTTTCTTTTGTGTGCAGTGATTTAGACTTTTGTGTTCCTTATGAGACTGCTTTCCTAAGTCCTAGCTTCCAAAGAATTTTTGATATTGTTTATATAATTGTTTACTCTTATGAATGTTGCAGTATTACTTTGTTCTTTTTAAGATTCATAGCCTGGTATGGGGGCGCACACCTTTAATCCCAGCACTGGGGAGGCAGAGCAGGATGATTTCTGAGTTTGAGGCCAGCCTGGTGTATGTAGTGAGACCCTGTCTCAAAAACAAACAAACCAAGCCTCAAAACACCACAAGCAAGTGAGCAAGCACACCAAGCAAACAAAAACATAGTCATCTCTGCTCTAGAGCAGAAGTTAGCTTTTGTGTTAGCGATTGACAAGGAGTGAGGGTCAGTTGCTCTCCAACACTGGCAGGAGCTCTGCCCATTAGAGCACCTTGGGACTTTAGTTATTGCTGTGTAATTGGTGGGTGCTGGCCATGACCATCTTTTTCTACTAATAACTTTAGGGATGTCTTTTCTAGTTTATACTGCTGGATTTGCTTACAAATGACATTTGGCAAATGCACAGAGTAAAAGTTATATGTGTCATTGTTTTTATTTTATCCTGACCCTTTCCATTTTGTTGACAGGACTTGGAGGCATAGCAGCCTCTTACTTGAACCCAGTGAAGTCGCTGGTGCCACAGATGCCAAAGCTACTGAAGTCGCTCTTCCCTGTCCGTGATGACAGAAGGGGCAGACAGTCATCTCCCCATGCACACCAGGTAAGGAAGCCACAGTGAGAGCTTCTCTGATGGTCGCTGGTACTGATGGTCTGGTGTTCGGAGCTGGAAGTAGAGGAACAGTGAGGGCATTAGAGCCGGCTCCTGACCCTGGGAAAGCTTGTGATAATGTCTTTTCCTCTCTCTTCATCTAACAGAGCTGTTTGCATGTATTGACACTTCTTCCTTTCTGCTCTAAAACAAAAAAATGCCAAGTGTGCTACTAATGTGATTTATGGTGATCTCACTTAGTGCAACAATAGTCAAATTTATGAAGGTGCACTTAGTGTTGTTTGTGTTGCCAAGCAGAAAGTGTCATTCTATTTTTAATTCTTGATTTCATTTTCTTTTCAAATAATCTTGACTCATGGCTCTCCCTGCTCCTCCACCTTCCTCCTCAGTGGACAATCAGTTCTTTGACTCAAAGTGGTCACTTGTTTTTTTTCCTTTTTAAAAACCTATATAGCAGTGAAGTAAGGATTAGAGAAAATGGTCTAGGCTTTTCCAAACAATCAGGAAGCTGCTTTTATGCAGCGGTGAAGGGAACCTACTTGGAGATGCAGTCTCTAGACATGTAGGCTTTAGTTCAGCAGAAAATGATGAATGAGATTTATTTATACCCATTCAGAAACACAAATGGTGCAGGTGTAGTTGTTGAAGTGGGTCTTTTGACATTAGCTTCTCCATATTTCAAATGTCTGAGTGTCAGGAATGTAGGTCAGTAGCTGTCAGAGGCAGAGCAGTGCTTAAGGGCTTGTGTGAAGGCATCTTCAGGAGAGATGGTGTTGACGTCAGTAAGCTGTTCTGTATATAGAGAGAGCTTCCTGCCCAGTGTGACACCATCTTGTACATCAGTACACAGAGCAGATGGCAAAATGAAACACAACGATTTTGAAACTGTTTAAACTGCACTTAGCTAGGCAGGTCCAGGGTCATTTGATAGTTATTAAAATGTATCTGTGACTGGAGGGCTCAGGCAGGAAAAGCTGACTTTCTCACTGGTTTGTTGCTGTGCACACTATGCTGTTCTAAATGTGTCATTGCTTCATCAAGTATGATTTGAGGGTCAATCTGAATTCCTAAGATACCTTCAAAAAACTGCCCTTTCCCAGTCTGCCCTGGTTACTCAGAGCCCTCCTGGGGACAACCACCAGTTCACCATGGGACTTTACATCAGGTTTGATGACCATGATTTCTCAGTTGCTCCAGAGTGTAGGCAGTTGTCTACATGGAAGGGAAATGGTCATCATGTTGAAGATGAGCAGCTTTTGTCATGCTGTTTTCTTTTCTCAGTGGAGCAAGTCAAAAAGCACTGGCTTCATGTAAGTCTCACTTCTGCTCACATTGTTCCTGTGCTAAGCCATGAGCTCCGGATAGGAGAGGAGCAACAGCCCATTAGAGACAAAGTCTGATGGGAGCAGAAAAGTACTCTGGCATGTGCAGGTAACAAGAAACATATGAAAATACAAATTAACACTGGGATTTTTGACAGTGCCGGGTAGTGTAACTAAAGCATTAGCTGTGATTGGTGAAAATACCTCCCTGGCGAACATGTCTCCATATCCTCAAGGTTGCAGCCTTTGTCCTCATCTGCAGAAAGCCATCAGCCTTGTGTCACCAGCAGCATGTCCTTCACGGTGGCCTCTCCTAGGCTGGGTGTCCAGGTGCCTTCTTGGCTCTCTGTATTTATCCACCTTTAACCAGTTTCTTCCCCTGCATAGCTTAATCCATTCCATTCCTTCACTGTTCAAATGAAGCAACTGGACCTTACATTAGTCTGTGGTTTGAAACCTTCTGGAATAAAACAAAAAATCTGCATTCCTACTGTATCTTAAAGCACCCTCCAGGATTAAATGCCCTCCTTTCAGTTTGTGTGTGCTCCCCTCCATGTTTTGTGCCATTCTAAGACCCTATTCTAAGACATTCCACTACTGTTTTCTCTTAGGAATACATGGAGCACATTTCATTCAGTTTAAGTGTCTGCCGTTTCTTTCAGTGCTGGCAGGCCCCTCGGGCTCTCAGTGGAAGCACGGCTAAGTTCACACTAGCCTTCTTGATGAGCTAGATAAAAACAGCTGCCACCACTAGATATACATGTCTTTTTCCCGGGAATTGTTAGGTTTCTGTTTGTTGACCATCTCTCTGTGGAGAATAACTCCAGTGGGCTTGGCTCACTTGCCCTGAATTGTCCTCATAAATTGGAGATGCAAAGTTGTATTACTGTCTGCTTGTGTGCCGATGGAGAAGTAGCCATGTGTGGATCTCTGTCATCTGTGTAGAAAGCACTATTTACAGGTTAGAGGTAAGTGAGACAGGCACAACTGAGTGGGATCTTGAGGTGTCGAGATATATTTGTGAACCTTCTCTCCGAGGTGGATGGAGAAGCCACTAAAAAAAGTTCCCGAAGCCGTGGTGTTTTCACTGGGATTCAGTTACCCAAAAGGCACCGCCCTTACTCCTCCCTTCAACCCCTGAGCCACTGCCTCAGCCTTAGCCTCAGCCTCAGCCTCTCACTTTCCCTGACTGTCTGCTAAAGCTCTGTGGGATGTAAATTATAATTGTAAGTGACAGCGTCAACATCGGTTTTCTCGCAACTTGGGCCAGTTGACATGTGCTTTGTGCTGCTACTCCCTGTGTGTGTGTGCATCTTTGAAAGTGGGTTTTGGAGCCAGTGGAAGACAAATGGCCAGAGTGCCAGGCTCCTATGTGGTCCTACCTCCTCTTCACTATACCTGGTGGTTGAGGTATTTGACTTTAAAAAAAAAAATCCTTCCTTATGGTTTCTCCAAAAACAGGATCATCTTTTTGTAGCCGTGGCCTCTGACCTTCTCTGCTTTGCTGGTGGAAGCCAGGGCAAGAGTGGTCCTTGTTCTTAAAGGCCTGCTCCAGTCTTAGCCGTTCTGGGTCAGTCTGCCCACCTCCTGTGGCGGTATCTTCATCTTTCTCTTGTCTTTCAGGGGCCTGCAGGGGAATGGGTGCAATAGTAATAGTGGAAATGGATTATCTCATTTAAATGATGCACCTGTACCAGGGTACCACTGTCCTAGTTTGGGTTACTATTGCAGTGACGAAACACCATGACCAAAAGCAAATTGGGGAGGTAAGAGTTTATTTGGCTTACACTTTTGCATTGTAGTCCATCATGGAAACCAGGACAGAAACTCAAGCAGGGCAGGAACCTGGAAACAGGAGCTAATGCAGAGGCCATGGAGCCGTGCTGCTTACGGGTTGTTCTTCATGGCTTGCTCAGCCTGTTTTCTTACAGAGCCAGGACCACAGCCCCAGGGACAGCACTACCCACAATGGGCTGGGCCCTCCCCAGTCAATGACTAAATAAGAAAATGACATAGATTCAGGGGTTCTGTAGGTCATGACTCCTTTGGGGGTAGAATGGCCCTTTCACAGGAGTCATCTAAGACCATAGGAAAACAGAGATATTTACATTATGATTCATAACTGTAGGTTCTGACTTTTTAAAATCTACTTAATTTGGGCTTCCTTATGTCTCTTTCTCCCTTCTCCACCCCAGTTCCTTCCAATACCTCAACACCAGATAGAAGAGAAAGAAGGTAAATAGGGACAGGAGATGTGGACTTTTTTAGAAGTAGTTCCTTGGGGTGATTCCACTGTTTGTCAGGGTACCGGCAGGCTAGTCAAACAGCAAACCAGCAATCCAGCAATAGCAAAAGCAGCAGTAGGTCCAGCAATAGCAGCAGCAGGGTTTGGCACAAGTGGCACAGAGTTCTCTGGAGCTTTTCTCTCTAGAAGCAGAGTGAAGTAATGCAAAGCATTGCAGTACAAAGTGAAGTCTCTCTGTCTGTGGGCTCCTATTTATACCTTCCTAAAGTCCACACAAGGATGTTTTTCAGCTGGCCAAAACCACACATTGGCAAAGATTACAAGCCCTCTCACAAGGCTGCTATCAGCTGACAAAGATCACACACCTCTCACGAGGCTGCTGTCAGCTATGGACAAAGCATTCCCACATCCCACACTTAGAACTACAACAAAAACAGCTATACAACACAATATAACCAAAACTTCCACTATACGTAACAGTAGCAAAATTATAGTTATGAAGTAGCAACAGAAATAATTTTATGACTGGGGGTCACCACAACATGAGGAACTATGTTAAAGGGTCGCAGGGTTAGGGAGGTTGAGAACCACTGTGCTATAGGCTTTCCTACAGAGAGATTGCTAGAACCATTTTCTTGGTTGAGGCTTTCTTCTCTCTGATGACTCTAACTTTAGTGTCAAGTTGACCTAAAACTATCCAGCACAACCACTGACTAGGACTAGCCCACAGTGCCACTTGACACTTCTGGGTGTTTTGTTATGGTTCCACTCTTGTCAACATAGTCCTTTTCTTTAATTATTGTATCAACTAAAAAATACACAAAATGCTTAAGTGGGGGACTTCAAGCTCCACTTCTAAAACTTTTTAAAAAAATTCCCAGGATTCTTTTTGAATAGTTTCTTTTTTTTAACTTAAATTTTAGCTATCATCTGTACACTTATTAGCTATAGGGAGTTAGCATTTTGAATCACAAACAAAATGTTGACTGTGTAAGGCCTAAGGCAGAGCCCTGACACCCACAGAATCCACTCTTCAGCCATCAAGCACCTAGCCAGCACAGTGCATCTCCATATTGGTAGCTGACACGCCCACCTTCCCTTTATAAGGACTTTGTGGCATCACGGAGCTAAAGGGACTGCACATCTGTCACCTGTTCTGTATCACCAATCCGGCAAAAAGAACTCCATGACCAATGCTCTGACCCTGCTTGCTGCTCAGCTCCGCCATCATTCTTGTGTAGGTGTCTGATGTTGGCAACAGCTTAGCTAGGCACGAGCGCCCTGAGGTTTTATTTGTTGCTGATATCTGTACAAATATTTCTTTTTTTTTTTTCCCTTTTTATCCAAATGTTTCTTAATTAAGCAATGAACCCATGTTGAGATGTTTAGAATGTTACCCAAGATGAAAGCTAGAAAAGGCCCAT